CCCTATGCGCAGACCATGCAAGTATCTCATCTTCTTCTTATGCTCAGTATCCGCCAACCCATCCTCAAAGTAAAGCAGTCGAACAAACTTGATGGTGTACTCAGTAACTGTCATATTCTCCTGCTTAAGGTTGGCAAATTCATTGTTCTTTGCCCTGATAAAAGCTTCGGGAAGAAACTCTGTCTTAAAGGCCTTCAGGAACTCCTCCCAGGTGAACTGAACTCGTTCACCATTAACTCTAGAGACTGAGGACCACCAGCTCCTCGCGTACCCCTTCAGGAGAAAAACAACATATTGTACTTTTTCCTCTGGGGTCGCATAAAGATATTCAAACACATCTTCCATCTCTCTCAACCACTCTACTACTGCATCTGGACTCACATCTCCCTTGAAGTCCCTACCACCCAAACTCTTCATCTTTGCATAGTCTAATACTGGCGGTCTTGCATCAACCGCCCCCACCCCTCTCGACTGGTCAGTAGGAACATTTTCACAACTTCCGTGGGAACTACAAGGAAATATTGGCCTTAGATTGATCCACACAAAATTCATTCTTCACCAAATCTCTCACTTGGTTAAAACAAAATTTTTCCAAACTAATTACTTGAAAACAAATAAGTTCAAAACTCAATTTTGAAAACCATGATGTAGATAATTTCATCCAATATATCAATACACATAATCATGTCAAACTCAATTCCCAGTTTAAGTCATTATGGGGTACTCCCCTCCTTAGGAGTGTTTAACCTCCCATAGGGTATAGTACGCCATAACAACAAAAAGAGGGAACCGGGCTCTGATACCAAACTGTAACACCCTACCCTATACGTTTTGCCTAATCATATTGTTCATACAATTGCAGCGGAAATAATCTCGGGTGTTACATTAATTATCAAAATTTACCTAAATAAAATTTCGACATGAATTACTCGCGTAATGGGCTAACAGTTCTTGCAACTTAACCTGCAAAATAATTCATCACAAACATATATACTCACAACCATATGCATTGGCTTTTCTTAGCCATAGTCACACTTTTCATACTTCCTAACTGCATACCATACTTATACATACCATAATCGTCACAACTTACACAGTTACACAACATATACACATATCATTAACTTTCCACACCTGTGGATATCTCACACTAGATCAGAAGCTAGTATGCACATGAAAAACGTTCTCAAAACATTCTTTTACAAAAAGGTGTGGATCACTGGCCAAAATCCCGAGTAGTAGTCCAAGCACAGAATAGTTGAAGACCATACCTCATCCTGGCTTCAACTCTAGCTCCTCTCCCACCTAACACTTATCTACTGCTACTGCTGATGATCTGCTTACACATAGCATAAGCAGAGAAGAAGAATAAAAGAGGGTCAGCTCATAGCTGAGTGAGATAATCATAGCATCGTGAGTTCATAACAGAGCATACCCCTACCATACATCTAGCAAACGAGCCAAAACACTAGGATCGGACCTCAGCCATCCTCATATCCCAATAAGCAAAAGACTCAACCACTTTGACTTATGCATATGCATCTTATCATGTTTTAATCATAGGCGCCTGGCTACTCCCATGCTAATAACTCTCCCGGGAAACATACCCCACATCCCGTCGGATGTAGTCATACATACCCCAACATCCCGTCGGATGTGGTCATACATACCCCACACCACTATGGGTGTAGTCATACCCCGACACCGCTCTGGGTGTGGTCATATCTCATAAGAATTCTTCAGTAACCACCAAATGAGAGGTGTGACTATCATACATATCATAATAGAGTAATAGCATAGGGAGCCCTAATTACTATGTAGTTGACCGTGAGACCACCACACTCATTATTGGTATCCTTATACATGATTCATATCTCATCTTGCTTAATCATAATTCATTACTTGCACATGTACTTGACCTGGCCACAATTGGCTCAACATAGGTAAATCAGGAGTCGTATAATTGCATTTCCTCGGGATAAACCCTCGTGCAAGTCATCCTCCTTAAACATCATAATATCACCCTGGGAAGTTTATTTTCCCCACTTGTGAATCCAAAAACAACCACAATATCACATCATGTCAAAAACCCTTATCGAACAACCATAAAGTCATATCAACAGTTAAGCCACAAATGGCAACATGTAGGCAATCATCCACATAAACAAGGTTCATATCGATTAGGGCAAGTCAATAATATCATACAGTAGTCCAGGGTTCATCATATAGCACAAAAGTCCATACACCCCTAATCATGCCATTCTAGTTCACCTAGGTCAATTCTAAGCATCAATATAATTATCGTGATACGACAAACCCGGTATGCCGTGCTAATCCCTCACCAGTTCTGGTCGTTCAAACACCGGTTCTAGCCTCCCGTACTAAAACATCAATTTCACGAACGAACCCCGAATTAAAATCCGAGACCGTCCTAATATCCCCTGCAGTATCCCCGTCAATATTAGTTCTGGGCTCCAGGTCAAATTCTCGATAAAAACACATCAAACCCTGGCCAGAGCTAAATTCAGCGGTTTGGACCCCGGCCTAAATAATAGCCGAAATTCAGGGATTCGAACTAGAGGATTGATTACCTCGCTGCAGGAAGCTCGTAAATGAAATTTGGGCTCAATCCGGCTTCCGGATACTCCGAAACCCTAATTTGGCTTATCGGGAATTCAAGAAATTCCTGAACCAAAAACTCGTTTTAAAGCTCTAAATCGATAAATCACGATGAATAGATGAATTAGGCATTACTTACGGGATTTTTGGATCACTAGGGCTCAAGAATTTGATCTAGAGAATTTTTCCCCCGAACGCTCTGTTTCTCTACTTCTCTCGCGGAAACTAAAAAGAAGAAGAAGTTGATATGGTTTCTGGAGAGTTGTCTGGGAAGGGAATTAAATGTCCCGTGTGTGTATATATATATATATATATATATATATATATAATTAATACGTATATTTATCCGATCGATCGATAATCCGATTTTCGCCGAAATAGTGTCGAAATGCTCGATTTTAAATCGCGAACTTTCTAGCGATCGAAATATGGGTTTTGCCGGAACGGGGTGTTACACATCAAAAGTCACAATTTTATTTCACACTATGTCATAATCAAAATGTGCGACAATGAAAATGGTCAAGAGCTACTATTACCCTTCAACAAGTAACTAGTAAGCTAGTTCAAATCTCAAAAGAGTAAATGTCAAGTTTGGTAACTGAGTTTACTAAAACATGTTATGTTTAGTCATTAAAAAAAAAATCAATTTTAATCACTCGAATTAGTAAAAAAATAATGTATACATGCTACCTATGTTCAATGTCTTATTCGCGTATATCCTCCATGTGTAGCTGCAAAACAGTTATCATTCGTTATACCCTGAAGCTCCTAAGTTCCAATTTTTGGGCGATTTCGGGAGGAACCCAGGAAGACAGTTGCAAGGCAGGCCGCAGGCGGTAATCATTGTTGTCGTTGCCAAGCTCTCAGACGCCGACAGCTGGCTGCACAACTCGTTGGGCTCGGCGCAGGACGGTGTCATGTCGTTTGCCGCTGGGGAAAGAACTGAATCGTGCCGTCGATACTCGATACCCATCACGAATCTGGAGTTGGAATACTCTGTTTTCACTCTCCGCCCATGTGTGATGTTGTGGATGGAATTGGGATACTCAATGGAGTAATCGATCAGGAGAAAGGAGACGAAGCCGGAAACCTGGGATTTCGAGAAAGGGATGGAATTGTTCAGAATCATGAACTGGTCGTTTTCCCCCCAACGGTCTTGTGGAGTATTCCATGAAGTTAAGTTGAGATTGGGAACCATCTTCATTCCTGGAAGGAACATGTCAGTTGGATGCTCGAAGCTTTGCCAAAGTGCGGTTTCATTTTCTCCGGTGAGTATCAAGTTTCCAGAATCCATGAGCTTCAGGTTGTAATTGGAATCCCCTGAAGAGATTTTTGTGTCGCCGGTCGTAATCGAGGTGGGTACCGAATTGGAAGGACTGGCTACGCCAGCGGTCCATGAATGATGAATCCGGGGAAGTTCTTCACGCCGGTGGGGGTGATTTATCTGTGGAAGGATTTTTTTTTTTTTTAGTCCGTTCTTTTAAGGATGTAAAATATTAAAAGAATTAAATTTATTTTATTAATTTTTAATTGCCACATTAGATATTTAACTTTAACGGCCCACTATTAGTGTTGACTACCACATTAGACAAAGTTAACGGATAGTAACTAAATGTGGACCGTTTTACCAATTCGAGTGACAAAAATTGATATTAATTTTTTCAAGTGACTAAACATGACATGTTTTAGTAAACTCAATGACCAAACTTGACATTTACCCAATCCTATAATCTTATCAACACTTAATTACCTTAACAAGCAAAAGCAGTAAGAAAGCAGGAAATGGTTCGAAGTTCTTAAGCAGGGGAAGAGTCACCCGGGAATGAGTCCCCCTAGCTCCTTAGTTAGGTCAAAGTTGTAATTACCTTTGGTTGATTTACTGTTGATTAAACTGCGGAAGATCCGACAATAGCTTAAAATCTCTTAAGCTGACCAAGCTCTCTCGGACAGACTAACTGGCAGGCGACTAGCCTTCACCGGGATAGAATGATGAGGCAATAAACACAGAACTCCACTACTGGAATTGGTTTCCAGTACAAAGCAGTAAATCGATTAACTCTCGTATAATCGATTCACTACTACCGATTGAAGAAGCTCTAACAACCTAATCAGATTCTATCTATCTCAGGTTACAGCAAAAATCAGGAAAAGTTTATCAACCTTCAATTGACTTAATCAAAACACTTCAATCGATTATAATCAAGCAGTATCACAAACCAAAAGTCATTACAATCGATATCCCTAACACATGGAACTAGGGTTCTTCATACCCAAGTGAGAGAGGGTTCTACTCCATAGAGAGAGAGAGAAACAGAAAACAAAGCAGTCATATTCATCAAGATGGGAAGAATCTGTTGTGGGATGATGATCTTCATTCCAAGCATAAAATTCAAGCTTGATTGAAGAAACCCCACTCAAAAATCACCTCTAGGGTGTGTTCTTCGCACTTTCTCTCCTTAGGACTCTGTTTCTAGCTCTAAAAATTGATTCCCCCTTCAAAAGACCCGAAATTGGGTTAAAAACCCAGTTCTGCCCGATCACACGGCCAGGCAACTTCTGCCTATGATGAAGGAGCTAAGATACGATGCTCTTTCGACCATGATTGATGCTGGGTGAGAAACAACTTTTGAGTTACTGCTTAGTCATCTCTTTAGATTTAGTAGGATAATCAGAGTAATCATCATTACTGTACTGTGACTGTGATAAAAGTTCTTTCATTTTTACTTACTTACTTCCACTTAATGTTTAGGCTTGTGAGAAATGCCAAGGGACAGAAAATAGAGGGAATGGAAGAAGAGCAGTCATCTGCTGATGGGTTTGAGAGTGGCAACTCCAACAATATTGGAGATGACTGGTACAAGAACAAGTCAAATGAAGAAGATCAGAGGATAATTAGACCGGGACTGCAGCTGCTGGAGTGGGATGGAGACGAGCCTGACGATATGGAATATCGCCATCTTCCATCTCGTCGGGCTCTTCTCCAGCCCACTCCAATAGCTGCAGTCCTAGGTTAATAATTCTCTGATCCTCATTCGACGTGTGACCATGGTCATATTCCATATCGTCAGGCTCGTCTCCATCCCACTCCAGCAGCTGCAGTCCCGGGCTAATTATCCTCTGATCTTCTTCATTTGACTTGTTCTTGTACCAGTCATCTCCAATATTGCTGGAGTTGCCACTCTCAAACCCATAAGCAGATGACTGCTCTTCTTCCATTCCCTCTATTTTCTATCCCTTGGCATTTCTCACAAGCCTAAACATTAAGTGAAAGTAAGTAAGTAAGTAAAAATGAAAGAACTGTTATCACAGTCACAGTACTGTAATGATGGTTACTCTGATTATCCTACTAAATCTAAAAAGATGACTGAGCAGTAACTCAAAAGTTGTTTCTCACCCAGCATCAATCATGGTTGAAAGAGCATCGTATCCTAGCTCCTTCTTCACAGGCAGAAGTTGCCCTCCATTTGCAAGCTGGAAACATGGAATTACAGAAGTTTGAAGTTCAGAATACCCTATACTTTTAGCAGTGCATACAAGTGCCCAAGTGTTCCGTGAATTAAAGCATACAACTATGTACCTTAATAGAGACTCAGATGGTACGAGACACATCTGAAACCCTTTTGGATAAAAATTTCTGCACAACTTCATTGATTCAGAAGACATAGTAATCCGAAAAATAAGATGAGAAACCCAAATGGACTGGGGAATCAGTGGTACCTGCTGCTGCCATTGCTGCCTGGTAAGCAACGCAATTGTTCTTCAGTGGAATATCCTCTTCATAGTCCAGGGCAGGGTACTCATCTAAAGCTTTCTCCTCCTAATAGTTCAGGGCAGGGTATGCATCCAAAGCTTCATCGTCTCTTTGGGTTTCCCGGATTCGTCTTCTCAAATTGAAGACCTCCCAAGACAGATTCCAAGCGACGTAGGTCTTTTCTATGAAATGGGGCTAAAACAACCCACAAGAAAGTCAGAAATCGCCTATGAAAAAGAAAACCCAACACCTGAGCGAGATCTTTTTCCTTGGATGAACAAGAACAATGGTACAAAAGAAACCCTATTTCCCAGAAAATCAGAACGGCCAACGGTTCTAAGTCAAGAGAATCGAACAATAAACCTAAACCCTTGGCCCGGATTTTCCCCCTTCGCTCAACAAATGGCAAAGGAAAAACAACACTTTCCCAGAAAATCGAAAAACCCATAAGAACTGAAAGCTGGTTTCAGCTTTACTTGGATCAATGTCAGAAGAGTGCCCTTGGCTTTAGGGATGGCAACAAAACCCGAACCCACGGGTACCCACCCGACCCAACCCGGTCAACGCGGGTAAAATCCGTGTTGACGGGTTTTGGGCAGGGTTCGGGTTTAAACCCGCTACACTATTCACAGGGTCGGGTTGGGTTTGGGTTTAGGTAAACCCGACCCATGGGTACCCGCTCACACACATATAATTACTTTCCCGGTATATTTAATATTCTAAATAATATATTTATCTTTAATATTTATCTTTAAATAATATATATTTATCTTTAATGCTCACACACAATTAATATTCTTTATGTTTGTGGAGACATGCATAATTTGTTCTTTCTAATTGTTTAGAATGAAGTTGATATTATGAAGTGGAAAGTGAAGAAACTTAGTTGACGAGGAAGAAGCTTTCAATTAATCTTTTGTTTACAGATGTTTATCTTTAATTTGAACAATTTGTATTGATCATTTGCGGTTTGCTTGTATGCTCTAGATTGGTGTTTTTTGTATGATTAATTTGTATGAGAAAATTGATGTTAGACTTTTATTTTGAAAGAAACTTGTTATTGTAAATTTTTTACCACAAAAACCCACGGGTACCCATGAACCCGCGGATACCCAGCGGGTTGGGTTGGGTTTGAGTTTTTCAAACCCAACGGGTTTTACCCCGGGTTTTTTTGGCGGATAAACCCATGGGTTTGGGTTTGACAAAACCCGCCCCAACCCGACCCATTGCCATCCCTACTTGGCTTTCCCCTCTTTCTCTCCGCTCAGTCAGAGCAGTCAAACGAACAGAAGCAGAGGGAAAGCGGCAAGAAACTAAAGGAAATCCATCAAAACGGCTTCGTTTGCTAAAGAAACCCATCGTTTCTCAAGAAACCCAAGAGCCAAACGGATACGTTTTCTCGGGAAAACTTAACGGGAAGAATTGAAAACGGCGATAAAAACAACAGATCGAAGGGGGAAATGTACTCACCAGAACAGCATCAATGATCTTCATCCTCTCCAATCAGCAGATTTTCGAAGAGGCAGGAAACTTGAGAATTTGAACAAGAAATCTCTCTCCTCTCTCTGAGCGGGAAACAAAAACTCTTGAGGATGGTGCTTCGCTGCCAGCCGTTCTACTTAGAAACGCCGGCGGGAACAGAGCACGTCGGCTAATTAACAATTACGGGTAGTTTGGGAATTTAGTCACTGCCACAGAAACGATGCCGTTTTCAGTCATTCACTCCTGAATCCTGATTGTTCAGCTTAAACGATGCCGCTCCGGTGCACGTCTTGCACCCGTTCCTCCTTGTCATTCACTTGCTAAAAGGACAAAAGCCTATTTAAGTTCTCGTCATGGGCTGTAGGGTAGGGAGTATATGTGTAGGATGGTTGGGGTTTAGTTATTTTAATCACTCGACTCATATACTTTTTATTTAATCGAAACAGAAGCAAATCAAATTGGAGAGGAGATAATCGAAACGAAAATAACGTAATGAGGTTTACGTGGTTTCCTTGTACAATGTGAACAAGACTACTCCACGGTCAACATAGGAACTCTCGTATTAACTTAGCTTGGGCAGATCGGTTTTGGGTAGGGTTAATTAACTAGGCCTACACTACTATAATACAACGTAAACCAATATGCGCCACAACCAATATACATAACGAGAATGTATATCTCAACAGCCGACCCCAAATTGATGGAGGTCTCGCATCATCAATTTGTCAGCGAGATAAGTATGGCGACTAGCACTGAAGGCCTTAGTATGCATATCAGCAACCTGATCTTTCCAAACGGACGTAAAAGACACGAATGACACCTGCCCGGACCATATCACGAATATAGTGAACGTGAAACTCAATGTGCTTAGTACGATCATGAAGAACATGATTGGTGGCAATCTGAATAACACTAGTACTGTCCACATGAAGCTGCATAGGGACCTTACAGACAACACCAAAATCTCCAAAGTCTCTGTAACCACTCAAGCTCAGAAGTCACACCAGACATAGCTCGATACCCTGCCTCAGTCAAGGATTTGAGATCGCTTTGCTTCTTACAACGCCAAGATATGAAGGAACAACCTATACGAATACACCACCCAGCCGTGGAATGACGAGTATCCACACATCCTACATAATTAGAGTCAGAATAGGCTTACCAATCAAAAACATAACGAAGCGGATGATATGTGTGTGTGTGTGTGTTTTTTTTTTGTGCAAAATAGACTTACCAATAAAAAACCTCTGGTTAGAGAGTCTAAAAAAAGACAACAAAACGTCATAAAATTACCTGCACATCCCTCATTTCATCATCCAAACGATGGAGGCTGATTAAAGAATGAACGACTAGAATTTTAATCATGTAGAGTAATGTAGATCTAAATTATAACTTATAAATAATAAAAGAATTCAATCCTCTTACGTACGCACTAGTAAAATAATGAATATGCTATGCGTTTCTCACATTCTGCAGGACGGATAACTTTTTCCACCCTTCAGTTCAATGGAAAATAGCAGAAATTGGGAGAAAAGCTGTTGCGTGACGCGGTTTTGAGCTCCTCCCCATCTCCTGCCCTGCATGACAGAGATGCAACAGCTAAGCTGGAGGGCTCGATGTCTTCGTTTTCACCCCGTAGCTCACTGCTGCATGCGCTCAAAGATATCACTTCCGCAAAGCATAAAAATGGGATTCTCTCCTATGTGACATAATTTATTAATTATTCGCTCTTTCCTTCCTTTTTCCTTTTCAGCAAGAGAATAATTAATTATTCATAAAATTTAATTTCGAAGTTGTCCCGTTTTGTACAGACCCACAAGCCAATTTCACCTGCAGATCCTGGAAGCTACCTACGGCAATATGGCGAATCCTATGTTTAATTATAATACGACCGATGAAGTAGTATTTAATTTATTTTTCCTTCTTGATGAGTATTTATTGATTATTTATAATAAATATGTATAGTACTTTATATGTTTAATTGATTCTAATATAAAAATTTGGGTGTCTGAAATGAACGTATCTCGCGTGAAATAAGTGCATCACTGTCGTCTGTCGCCATTATTATTTGGTCGCTCATTTCTAGGCCTTTTTTTTTCTTCTTCTTCCTTATTTGACAGCGCAGGCACTCGGCTTTGAGTTGAGCAGCCAAAAGTTCGAACTGTTTTAGAGTGTGAAAGGGAGGGAGATGGCTTGCGTAGTAAGTCGAGACGTTGAAAAAAAGCTGAAAACGCCTTGAAATGATCATATTTGGTTTTTGCCCGTTTTCTTTCTGGCCTCTCCCAAGTTTATGTTAATTAGTCAATCAGTTTAAGTCCTATTTTATTTCTGTCATCTAAGGACTAAAGGCATGTGGGGGTAGAGTTGCATTTCTGTTATATATTGATCTGATTTTACTGTTTAACCAACTGTAACATGTAACAGTGACGTGGCTAAAATACCATTTAAACATGCTTTTTTCATTTAAACATTTTTCATGTTTTTAGCATAAAATACCATGATTGTAGAGCGGGAGCAGATCAGGTGAGTAACCTTGTAGTGAGTAACCATGAGTAACCCGTCCACATCAGCATGACATCAGCATGCTCTCTCTCCTGGAAAGCCTTTAATTTTCCCTTCTTTAATCTTTGACGAACGATTTCTCACTCATTTTAAGTCAAAATTTAATTTTTTTTGCACAGTTAGATCAGATTAATTGTGCTCTTCAAAATGATATCCACTTTAATATATTTTTCGAACAAAAAAAATTGAGCCATTTTTTACCAGTCAATACCATATGGTATTGACTGGTATTGAAATAAAAGCATACATATGGTTTGAAAAACGTACCGTGGTGGTATGAACAAACCAAGACTGTAGGATGGTTGAATACATGATAGTAGAAATATATTAATTGTCATTTATGACTTTTAACATTGTATACCACAAGATACCACCTCGTACCAGGGTGGTATTGTATGGTATTGTGTGGTATTTTTTGGTCATGTAATTTGTTCACCCATAAATTTGTAGATCCAATAGATCATGATGAACTCGTCCCTTCTGTGCAAACGTTTTCAAAAACGAATTAAAAACGAAGAAGATACCATACAATACCACCTCGTACCAGGGTGGTATTGTATGGTATTGTGTGGTATTTTTTGGTCCTGTAATTTGTTCACCCAGAAATTTGTAGATCCAATAGATCATGATGAACTCGTCCCTTCTGTGCAAACGTTTTCAAAAACGAATTAAAAATGAAGAAAATACCATATGGTATGCAGTTGGTACCGAGAGGCCAGAATTTTTTGTTCTAAAAAAATATTGAAAATTGATCTCATTTTGTAGAGCACGATGAACTCGTTCCACCTGTGCAAAAAAAATTAAAATCCGAGTTAAAACGAAAAAGATATGAGCCGATTAAGAAAGCTAGAGAAAATGAAAATGATCTTTAATTCTCCATCCTTAGATCTGAATTTTCTAAATGAAGGGTTCAGATTTGGTTATTGATGAATGCATAACCCATGGTTATGCACCCTATCTTGAGCCTTGTAGAGCTTCATGGTACAAATGATAATAATAAGGTGGTACAGAAATGCACCATGATGGTATTGAATATACGATAGTACAGAATAGTAGCATACATTATGGTAAAAATTCACTAACCACCATCTACTATCGTCTATCACTATCACTATCTAATTTATATTAGATGGTGGTATAATTGGTCTAAAAAATATTTACCAAAATATAACGAGAATTTATATTATTTTGTAGATGAGATAAATTATGCTACTTTTGTGCAAATACATTCAGAATTCTAATTCAAATGAAAGAGGTTAAGGGTAGTAGAGCATCATTTTATGAACTACAATTAACATATTCCTTTTGTGCATATCCAAGTCTCTTAAAACTAAGAGATCGTCAAGTGATGGCGCCGCCTAGAGAGATAGAACAGATCCTTTGAGATGATATTATGAGTATTTTTTTCGAACGCCAAGTGATGGCGCCGACTGATCTGTAATCCCCCTCCTTTCTTGGCTTTGGCCTCCTTGAATGCAAAAAAAAAAAAAACTAAGAGATCGTCATATGGCCAATCTTTAATCCGCAATTATGAATATGTAAACCTGCAATAAATTGCTCTAAAGCTCCCGTTTTTATCTTCTCCCCGTTTAGCCACTAGCAATTGCCTCACATTTTTAAAGATAACCCAATTCCTAGCTTTGTCAAACAAACAAGGTTAATTAATTAGCTAGCTAGCCTGGAAATCCTAATATTGATGTTTTATGGCTTCCCTTCATGGGCTGTCTGACCATTTCAAACCTCAGTTTTAGTGACTTTGACAATAACCATTAACCAATCAATATAATAACCTAGCCGCTTTAACCTGAGATGAAACCCATAATTACTCTAAATCTTAAACCGAAGTTTGACCTTGAGGTCACTTTCCCAGAAACCATGCAATGAAGTTGAGCTGTCGTCGTCTCTTCACTCACGCTTCATTTAAACTACGCTACAAATGTACTGTCTCCCACTTTTCATCTGTAAAAAAATGTCAAACAATCTCGCTGTTCGCTTGACTAAAACCGGATCTAACTCCCCCAAATTAGGGGTGTGCAATGGTCCGGTCTGTACCGGATCGTACCGGATCAAATCGAGCTTTGGATCGGATCGGATTGGACCGAGTATAATGCGGTCCGGTTCTTGGTCCTATTGAATTTTACAATTATTGAAGAAATGGTGGACCGAGTTTATTTTTGGACCGGACCGAACCGGACCAAATGCTATGATAGTCCAGTCCTTAGTCCTAAGATGTATTTCAATAATGGACCGCGGTTCTCATGAGTATGATCTGGTCCGGACCGAACCGTTGCACACACCTACCCCAAATTGTTCACTCTCTCTCTCTCACCTTCCTCAACTTTATTATTATACTATTATCTTCCTCCCTCTATCTCTATAAATACCAACCCTTTTCTCCCCCTCTCCTCCAATCCCCAATCCCTTTCATTCGCCAAAACAGCATCAAATTTCAAAGGTTTGAATCATAACATCATCATCAATGGCCAAGAGTGACGAGGCTCAGAAGCAGCAGACCACCAGCGACAGGAAAACGACGTCGGCGGCGAAGAAGAAGTTCAAGGGAGTGAGAATGCGAACCTGGGGCTCCTGGGTGTCGGAGATACGGGCGCCGAACCAGAAGACGAGGATATGGCTGGGCTCCTATTCCACCGCCGAAGCCGCCGCCCGAGCCTACGACGCCGCGCTCTTGTGCCTCAAGGGCTCCGCCTCCGCCGCGCCAAATCTCAACTTCCCCATCTCCTCCTACTCCCACCACCACCGCAACACCTCCACCAACCCACCCATGTCCCCCAAATCCATCCAAAGAGTCGCCGCCGCCGCCGCCGCCACCACATTCTCCGCTCCCGAACACCCAAATCCTCTCCCGTTGCCGCCGTCAGATAATTACAATCATTTATTTGTTCCATCTCCGTACACGTCATCATCAGCTGCCACGTCGTTCTCGTCGTCCTCGTCGCAGTCCCCGGTTTCCACGCCCACGTCGGATCAGCTGTACGAGGATGTCGTCTCGTTGCCGCAGCAGTTCCAGCCTCTGGACAACAACAACAACTATTATGATTATGTTCATCAGAGTGTTGATCCTGCTCGTTACAATGACGACAAGGAGGAGCGTCGCGTTGTCGACGACGTCTCCTCGATCTCATCGTGGCGAGGAGGATTCGACGAATTCGACCAGCAACAACAACTTCACGGCGACGAACAACTAATTTTCCCCACGTTTGATGACTCGCTAGTGTCGACGTTCGGCGTGCCTCCGGCGCTGGACGATTTTTACTACGAAGGCGATATTCGGCTGTGGAGCTTCGCTGAATAAAATTATTAATTACTTGTTTTACGTACTCAAAATAATTCTTTTATATACGATTCTTTTTCGTCCTCCATGGATAATTAATTAATCACATTCTTGTTCTTTTTACACTTTTTTTTATTCTTCTTCTTCATTTTGATGGCTTGTTCATCAAGTCATATGTAACGCCGGATCAAAGCTGTTCAGTATTACTCTCCTTCACGTGTAGTGCCAAGGGCTTTTTTTTTTTTTTTGTTTTGGACTTTCTGAAAAGAGGAGAGAACCAAAAAAAAGAGAGAGAGAAAGGAAGAAGAGAGAAGCCACTCGCATCACATGGCTTAGCTAGGAAACGAGTTTTTTTTTTTTTTTGGGGACTTTTGGCCATGTGATGTGAGGGGCTGGTTTCTATAAATATACATGTTCACATGTTGACTGACCATCGTGTATTGTGTACCATGATGAACCATCAATCTTGTAATTATTATTATTATTGATCAGTATAGTAAGACGTGTGTCTTGTACTTAATAATTAAGTATTGTCAGTTTCTTAATTATGATCATTATGCATGTATCTGAGTTTTAACTCTAGGAAGGGCTCATGGTTATTGGTAAGAAAGATGGATTGGTTACATTTCAACCACCGATTTTTGGTTTAACACTATTAAAGCTAAGTTAAACTCCGGTCACAAAAGACATTGATATCATATCAAGAACTAATTCATTTAGTAAGTTGAGTTGTTAGAAAGAATTCAATTGTAAATGCTTTGCAGAACAACATCTAACCCACTAGGGGCACACCAATCTTATTTTGATTTACTTGTCTTTTAACTATTCCAATTATGCGTGGAATAAATTGGATTTACCATAAAGCAATTTCTTGGAATCTCCTCATCTTGTCCAGATTATCAAAAATTGCTAGAAATATATAGAATTGATGTTGGTGATCTTCTGGAACTTGATGCGAAAAAAATAAGACGATGTATTACTCGTGGGGAGAATATAGATCCACTTAAGGGGGACTTCACATATTCTTGATGGGGAGAATATGTGTGCGTGGACGGTCTTGGGAGTGTGCGGGGAGGCCTCCTGTACCTCCATAATGTATAAGTCTAATTATTATGAAGCATTCGGTTTAGATTGTGAATCTAAAAAAAATAATGCATTAAATTCTGATTATGATACAAAATAAAATAAAAAATGCTAAACGAACTAATGGACCATATGTGAAGGGGAAAGCTTTTATTTTGATTTTGTTTGATTCAAAAATCTATTTAAGTGAGTTCAATTAATTTATTGATTTTTCTCTACAGATTCTTCTCTCTAGACTGAATTTGGTTTTACTTTCTATGTAACTTTTTTAAGTCTCATTTGACTAATCATATGTTAAGAGTTAATGGTGAAAGGTGAAATTATCAAGGTCTACGCGTTTTACAATAGGAACGGAGTTTGGTAGCTAGCTAGCCATTTCTTACAAAAATGAGCTAGTAAATAGTAAACAGCAACCTTGTTGGAATTCTTTTATGTATAAACTGATGTATTTTATCTCAGAACTCAGAAATTACATTCTATTATATTGAGGCCCACGATGGTGCTATATATATTTTTTGTTTTAATAGGGTGCATGTCAGATGTGTCATTTCTATTTTCTGTTTAGGGGGCAACGAAAGCATACAGTTTGGGAACTTGAAGCCGTATCTGCAAGTAAAATAAAAATAGTGGCGAAAAGCTGGTACGGTAAATTCCGCTGACAACGTGTGAATCCATGAACATTTTCGATGTCAGCCAGACGGATGCAGGAATTTTTAATGTTTTGATTGACTGCTAGGAGGAAAAAGGAATAGTTTTTTTATTTTATTTTAATTAACTGGAGGCATATAAGTTATAACTGCCGAACACTAAAGGCTCAAAACAGAGCACAAGAAACAGAGCACCATACCATTTCCAATGGGAGTGTCAAAGTGATAAATTTTCACTATATTTGGTATTTTTGTTTTCTTAAATGGGGTTTTACTCCGGTGAAAAGAGTTAAAGTGTCAAATCCATCAAATTTAATTTTTTTCTAATTTAGTTTAGTGTTGATTTTATCATTTAATTTACTTAATTTGTTTATTATTTGACACGGGTAGTAATAATTCATTAACACAAGCACTTTGATGCAATAATCTTTACTTGGAGATAATTTTTTTCGTAACTAAATATGATGTCGTTAATGATGAAAACACAATAATTGATTTGGATCGTCACATGTTTGTTATAATGAGTTGTGTCATTAACTGCTCATTCAACTTCAACCATAATGAGTTGTGTCAGCAACTATTCATCAAACTTTAATGAGAATGAGTTGTGCAATCAACTGTTCGCCCAACTTTGATAATATTATTGCAGAAGGAATATTTTCGTGTTGCTATAAATGAACACTCAAATTTGATCATTCTATACATCCAACATTCAATAATCCTGAAAAAAGCCATCAAACCTTCATACATCTCTCTAGTCACCAAACATAGTTTTGCTTCATGGATTCCCCTGGTAAGCACGCTGATGAGAGGCAAAGAGAAGGTGATGATAGGCAAAGAGAGTACGAGTGTCAGATTGAGCATGAACATATCTATATGTTCATGATGCATGGAACCCTCTTGCATCCACAACAAACAACATCATCTTGTCATAGTTCATCATCACGAAAAATGGTAAGGCGTAACAAGTAAGGCGATCACAAGCGCTTGATGCATGATTATTTTAATCCAAATCTTACTTACGATGCTAGGGCATTCACAATGCCATACAGATGCATTGTGCCTTATTTAACCGAATCATGAATGATGTTGTTCAATAGATGCCTACTTCAAGCAAGGAAAAGATGTTGTAGGCCGTGAGTTATTTTCCCCACACCAGAATCTTAGTTGTGTTTTTTGCATGCATGCATATGGATGCTCAACAGACTCCTTGAGATTTTTTCAAATAGGCGAGAGCATCACATTGGACTCTATGAAGAATTTCTACTAGGTCGTCACAAATATTTATGGTGCTCAGTATTTGCGTGCACTAATAGTGAAAAATTTTCACCGCCTTCTTGATCATAGTGCATAATGAATACACATAGAAAGTACTTTTTATACTCATATTCTATGGCTAGAATCACATCCTTTTCATATCTTTAGTGTCATATTGATCTGTTGTAGAATAGAGCCAAGTTTACATGTTCCTAAGGCCATGATCTTATTTCCCTAGGGCCTCTCGCAGAATCCTTACTTCGGAAGCAAGATACGGTTCCATTGAAGAAGAGGCCAATTTAGGAGGTTGAGGTGCCCCCGATTTTCCAAAACGTAAGAGTTCAAAAGTAATGCGGTGCACAAAAGTAAATCTATGCTAATTCGCCGAGTTAGAGATTAGAGAAAGAAGGCGGTGCATAGGCAAGTTCACCTAGGTCTCCTAACCATGTATCCTTGTCACGATCCAGGTGATGTCTTGCCAGTTTTAAGAGAAATAAGCGTGTGATCAGTGACTTGTTGCTTGATGGTAAATTGATTCATATGAGGCGTTCACCTCATATTTTGAACTTGATTTTGAGGTATGGTTTGGATACAATCGAGTATGTTATACATTTGATTAGGGAGAGTGTAGTTTACTGGAATTTTATACCTAAGAGGGCTCAAACCTTTTCGAAGTTGCTAAGCAATTGAAATTGTCTTTTGAGAAAAAAATCTAGTACTTTGTCCAACTAGATGGAATTCCACATATCATATGCTCTTTGTTGCTCTTCCATATAAGGATGTGTTCTTTCGTTTGAGCTTGACGGGCAATCAATACACATCAGTTCCTTCTAGTGCTCAATGGGAATTTTCATTTGTTGTGATTGAGAAGCCGGAACTTTTTTATGAGATTATTGAGTTGTTCTCTGGTTCCAAGTATCCAATTGCTAATCTTTTCTTCCCAAAGATTTGTATCTTCGAATGAAACTGAATGAGCGGGATCTTGATCCCAATCCTGTGATTTTTGGAATGACAAGTAAGATGTCACTGAATTTTGGTAAGTAAAAGGATGATATCCATCTTGTACTTGTTGTCTCGGTTCTTTTATGCTAGATATAAGCTGCATGTTATTGAGTACCATGCTACAAAGCTTGACAATACTGAAATTGATTTAGTGGCTAAGAATATCAACCAAATAATATATGGTTTGATTCTTGATTATCAAGCCAAAGTCGAAAAGAAATCTGGTTCTGAAACGAGAACCTCTTCTGCTTGTTATGGATCTATCTCGTCCACTGAACTTGACTTTGAGCTCTTTGTAAGTCAGAGGAAAAAGAGTATGAGTTCTTTGATTACTACTGAGTTGGATATGTATTGTAACACCTTAGGAAAATCCCACATCGATAAAGCACGGGAGAGATCCATGGTTCATAAGTAGGAAACTGACCTTAACTGACAAGACACATTTTGGGGTGAAATGGAGGAGTTCTTGTGAGAACTTCGAAGTTAAACGTGCTTAGTGTGGAGTACAACAAGGATGGGTGAACTTATGGAAAATACCCTGAATTGCACCTAAGTGGAAAACTGTGAGGGTCGAGGCCCAAAGCGGACAATATCTTCGTCGAGAAAAGGTTCGGGATGTTACAAGTGGTATCAGAGCCTCTCTGTGTCCATCTTGAACGCTGGTGGGGCAAACCTCAAAGAGGGCATTGAGTCCCAAGGGGGGTGTATGTAACACCTTAGGCAAATCCCACATCGACAAAACACGGGAGAGATCCATGGTTCATAAGTAGGAAACCAGTCTTAACTGACAAGACGCGCTTTGGGGTGAAATGGATGAGTTCTTGTGAGAACTTCGAAGTTAAACGTGCTCAGTGTGGAGTACAATAGGGATGGGTGACCTTATGGGAAATCACCCTGAATTGCACTCCAAGTGAAAAACCGTGTGGGTCGAGGCCCAAAGCGAACAATTTCTTCGTCGGAAAAAGGTTCAAGTTGTTACATGTATCTTGCTGAGACTATTATTCCTCAGACATCAGAGTTTGATATGCTCTTGTGGTGGAAACTGAATGGTCTCAAGTATCCCACCTTGCAAGCAATTGCAAGGGACTTTTTGGCAAATCCCAATTACCTTTGTGACTTATGAGAGTGCATTTAGTTCTGGTGGGAGGTTGTTAGACCCTCACCGAAACAGGTTGCATTACTCAACTGTGGAAGCAATGATTTGCACACGAGGTTGGATAATGGAAGACACGCAACGAGGTAACATGCAGCTAAACCTCTCAATTTCACTACAACTTTATTTGTTTAAGTGTTAACGATAGTTTTAGCCGACTTTCAGCATATTCAAAGGTTGTTGTGGAGGCATTGGAGTGAGTCTTCTCAGCTATGTCAGTTGAAGATACCGCTGTGGAAGAGGCAAAACCTGGTGGTAAGAACATGAATGTGTTTTCTTAATTCTTTATCCATAATTGTAACATTTCTAACTCTATTAATCGAGACCATGAAGAAAAATTCATTATCTACTGTGGAGCCAATGTAAATATCTACTTCTTATCTTCTTAATTGTAAGAACCTCAATATTGTTCTTAGGCACTTAACCTTTATATGTTCAACTCGATGCTTCTTTACTTCTTTTTGCTGACTTTCAATTGATGACTGCTGCTACTTGAGTTGAAATGATGTGGATGACGATGTATTAGTCTGGACTGCAGTTTGATCGAAGGAATGTGTTTTGTTGCAGTTGGTCTCGGTAGTTAGGGATGACTTCAAGCTTAGTTTTACTTGCTTTTGAATAACACTAGGCAATCATGTTGCTCAGGATGGGAATATGTGTTGTGTGGTTCATTTCAAGCACAAGTATTGAACTAGTTTGTTGTTTTTGGTTGTTGTTGCTAGGCTGCTTGCACAATTGCAGATTGGCCAAATTTTTTTTTGTTGATTTCAAGTTTGAATGACAGTATTTGACTATCAATATGAATAAAGTTTACAAGTTGAGATCCCCCCATGACCGTATGAGAGACCCGCAGGCACCCTAAAATCCACCGATGACGGGGTGGTTTCACTACCAGACTTGTTTGGCCGTTTGGGCCGAGGATGAAGGAAACCCAAGGCCCATCGCAGGTGGACTGCGGATGCAGGGTACCCGACCCCGATCCACCCCGTTGTCGAGCCTAGGCAGCGAAGAATATTATAGAATTTTGTGTATGAACAAATCTCCGCGCCTCCTTTCTTGCTCTGCCTCCTTACCCTATTTCTTCTCCCGTGCCATGGACCGAACTCTGAATCGCCGAGCATTCGATCATGCGTAGGTTGTATCTCCTTCCTGTAACCCAATTTCATTGCTCCACTTCCTGGAAGCTTCAAATAAATTACATCAAAATTAAATAACTGCAAGACACACAACGACAGGAAGCTGCGAGGCAAAGCAGTCAAACAGTTCCCATAATGGGTACGGATAACGACACAAAAAAAAAAAAAAAAAAAACGGGGAGGAGATTCGATTCTTCCCCTGGAAAACAAGAAAACAAAATCCCTACATGCGATCTTGCCGCTTCATCCTCTAACATGCAACATATATAGTGTTTCAATATAACCACATCTCCACTGCACCTTTCGCCCATTCCTCCTTTACCTTCCCACTCTTCCATGTTTCACTCCAAATAGCTACGGTTTGACCAAATATCTGAACCCATCTGTACTTTTGTCCCGTAGCGACCAACTACTGATTGCACAAATTCAGCCATTGTCATTTATGTTGTGGATAAGAGGAAAGGTTGTGTTGTAGTTATGGAGTCGTAGCAGCAGCAGACCAACTGGCCGCCCAAATTCAGCCATTGTCATTTAATTCAACGCGGAAACCATATCTGGAGAGGATCTTCAGTTTGATGATTTTTGCCATTTTACATTGTGGGGGAATGCATGGAAGGTACGGAAGGACATGTGGTACGGTTGCCAGTTTCGAAAACACCAAAACACACATAAGCCAGCTAGCTAGCTCGCGTTCTTTAAAAAAATAAAAACAGGGGGTTTCGCTATGGCTTGGTGTGCAATTTGACTTTGGTGTGTTCGACGAACTTGAGTCGGGCTTCAACTCTGCGGTTGAGATGGAGTTTGAGAATATATAAATGTCGGCAATTGGTGTTCGAATCTTGCATTTCCAAGTGTAATAATTTCACTTCATGCTCGCTAAGTACTGTCCCACCACGATACTTTGGAAGCAGTATACAAATGCAAGCCCAATAATGTCACTGGTAGAGTGATTCTCCATCGTCTCTAGTCCAATTAAGATTCGTTGACTACCTAGTTCATTTCTCTCAAAGTTTATGTTACGGAAATAGGCTCGTTCCTAACTACATAATTAATCTCGATTAAAGCCCCAAGTGTAAATTCTAGTAGGGTGTAGTATCGGACAAGTGTTTTAAAATGTCAACCCGGGACGGTCTATGTACCTCTACTTCAATCGTTTAAAATGTTATCAAACAATCGGTTTGGAGTTAAAGCTAAGTAAATATAGTTGAAAGCAAGCAAGAAAGTAAACTGTGGTGGTTTTGATGCGAGAAAACTTCACCCAGGTATTGCTCCCTCTATTCTCGCGTATTAAGATGCAACAAATGGAACTCTAGGGAAACCCCACTCTCTTAGTCAATCGATTAAGGAATGTCAAATTAAGCTATGAGACAAAATTGCAAGAATCGATCCCTCGGATGTTAATTTGAAACCGCGAAAAGTAACCAATCACGATAGATCCATGGCCCTAATCTGATTTTTGAGGCCTGCCCTTAATTGCCCTAGATTGGGTTACCCAATTGACTAAGAAATCTAGCTTCTTATGACCCAAAGGGAGATTTCCTCCACCTAGGTCAATTTGACCTAACTTTGACATATGAAGAACAACACTGCAGAATCATGAAAAATAGCTCAAACATTATACTAAACACACACCCAACACACATAGAGTTCAATTCCTAAAATCTATCACATTTCTATACTAGGGTTCACAGTACCCAAGTGAATTAGAGAACTACTCCATGACTAAGAATAGGAATACAACAAAGATGAACCAAAACTCCTTCTTCCTCCTTTGGTTCGTGACTTTCTCTCTCTTGCTCAAGAACTAGAAGCCGATCTCACTCTAGAATTCCCTCCCTCTTTGGTTTAAGCTCACTCCTCTTTATATACTCCAGTCGAGCGATTATAACGGTCATATATATCACGCCTGTGGGCCTGGAAGCTTGCGAGTGATCTCGGCCGAAAACGCGTCGGTTCACTTATCATCTTCACGGCAGGGGCGAAATTGTCAAGGTCTAGTGACCGTGTCAACTGACTTACACGTGAGACATGCAAAACCTCCTGGATCTTGGTGATCTACACAGTCTATGCTCATTCTTCATGGTCTCCAATCCGTGATAGTAGCGCCTTGGTCGTGATCTCTGCCTTTTTGTCTATTTCGCTCCATTTTCGCCCTCTTACATTAGACTTTCGCTCCCGAGGTCAATTCCACCTTTTAAGACCTGAAACATGATGAAAAACATGCACAATCTAGCGTAAATTGAACCTCGGGATATGTAAACGCTTCAAACATCACAAGAATATGGGGGTGAAAACATGTATAATTATGCCTGAATCAAACTCCCCAACATTTGGACGTTTGTTTATCCCCAAGCAAACCAATCTCAAACAATGTAATATTTCAACCTAAACACAATAACTCGGGAATATGTCAAAGGGCACAAAGGGGATGGATCTCAATGTCTATTTGGCACCGACATATGGACAACAACAAGCATCCTGGCAACCACCACAAATGACATTCGAATGCATTAAGAACGTGCAACAAAAAAGTTCTCACCCTGTTCACAAACCAACACATAACCTGTAATGATGACTCACCAACCAAAGTTATCCATGCATAAAGATCACGTCATAGAAATAAACGAATGAGCATACTAAGCCCTCACTGGGGTATGATATGAATAAGATAACATGAATGAATCACTCACTCTCAACTAGTGGGGTCATGACCATTTGATGCAAAAGATTTGCATACTCAACACTCAGCCCTATCGTCTTTTCACCATGACGGAAACCTCTAAATGCTAGAGCTCACTATTTGGGTGTCATCACTAGATTGTCCGGAGGTCTTAGATATGAGTTCAAATGACTGGCTAGGGTCTCAGACATGGGAAAAAGAATTTTTGGGTGGTTGCACATAAAGGACGAGGTTCCATAATTCACGTAGAACCTATCAAAGCAACACAAAACCACTCACAACAACCAATTGTCATACATTTCGCCATTCCCAAAACACAACCAATCACGAACAACATCCAAAGCACATTTTCTTTGCTACACTTGCTATCCAATTTTTCAGGCACAACAGTGAAGGAGGTAAACAACACGTAACTGTCTCAGTAGCTTTGACTGCCAAGGAACACCTTTATAGAGCATAAACAATATTTTGTGGCAACTCCCTTTTTCTTATTTGCCCCTTTTATTGCTTTCTTTTTTGCTTCTTTTTCTTCCTTTCCTTTTGTTTCTCTTTTTTTTTCTCTTGGGGGCATTAGAGAGCTAAACACGCATACCACATTCTTTGAACTTTAAACACATGCTCACTTCTTAAGCACTACCTCCAACACTCACTTTCACCTTTTAGCAGGAAACTAGTCAAGACACACAAAGTGGAACCTCAATGAAGCTCAAATGATGGGAGCTTCGAAGAAAGTAAGGGTCGCTCTTCCTAATCTCAATCAAGCTCATATAGTACGAGCTACACAACATGAGAGCGACCCTAAGACATACGAATCAAAAGGGTTGACTAGGGGATAATGCAATAGGGACAAGTCAAGTTTTGGGTCGTGGACTAATCCTATGCCTCCATCTTCCTCGTTAGTGACAACGTGAATGTTACACATCATGGTAAGAGGGATCTAACACACAAGAACAAGACGAGCGGCACAAATCTCACATGGCTACCTAGATGTTCAAACATTCATTCCAAATTTTGACGCATAGCAGTTGTGGTCAATGAGTAATCAATCCAAACACATCCATTGGTTCTCACTTGGGTATGAAGAACCTTAGTCCGGTATGGATGTATTGATGATTGTTTGAGATTGTAGATTGTTGAACTCAAAGTTTATATCCAGTTGATGCATTATTCATGAATTGTCTGAATCCTAGAAACATTCTTATGATTTTGTTATAACTCAGGCCTAAGAATATCCGAATAGGTTAATTGAGCATTGTCAATTCAAAATAGAGAATCGATTGCACAAGAGTGAATTGATTCACTACTTTGTACTGGATTTCGGTCCAGTAGAGGCAGGGGCGTAGCCAGGAATTTTACTAAGGTGGGTCAAATAGTTACATAAGTCGTTGTGAACGGCGAATGGCAAGTGGCGGTGACAACCTATTTTAGAGGTTAGAAAATGCCATCACGGAATAAGCGACGTTTGTCCAGAAGTCTATATGGGTTTGGAGTTGTTGGTACGTCGAGCGCAACACGGTTATCTTTGTACTTGTGCATTTTGATCTACCATCGGTTTACCTTGAAACCCTATAAGGCTACAGAAGTCAGAAGATGGGAAATAGATAAGGAAATGTGATTTGATCAAAATGAATAAATCACCAAACTAGTTCTGTTGTTTCTTATGCGGCAGAAGCAAATTGACTCTTGGGCTAGCAACATGTTGACCAATTTAAGCCCAATTCTTAAATGCTAGTCCATAATTAAATGTAGCCCAATCCTCTTGAACTAAAAGGCCTGCACACAAACTAAAGTAACTAAATGTTATAAGTCCAAGCAAATTACAAAACTATGTCGTATCACTAACAAAACGAAATCCCCTAGTAGATGGTCTCCTCGATCAAATAGTCTCCCCTGCAGGTTGGATTATGAAGAACACAAAGAACAGAGACAAATAAACCCAGTAATAAAATAACAAATAAAGCAGTTTTTCCAGTGTATTGCAGGGCCAAGGTGGTGCAGCCTACCCACCTTAGTCTGTTGTGGCTCCGCCCCTGAGTAGAGGGAATCTAATTTGTATTGCCTTAGTATTTTGTCTCAGTTGAGGATAGTGTCTCACTGAGCAGTCTATTCAAGAGGGCTTGGTCTACTTAATCAAGATTCAAGGCTAATCTAGGATTATGCGCAATATAAATATTGAGTGAGACAAATTAGGGAATCAACGATAATTAATCTGGCTAGAGACTTGGGGCAATAAATATCCGAATGACATTTTTTATAGCTGAAACTCAAATAAACTTTTTATTTATTTCTTAGTTCTTAATTGTGTCATTCAAATCTATTTTTTATATACCATAATAAAACTAAGTAGTAGTACATCTAGAAATCCTAGATTGATAATTAAAACTTACTACCAATTTATTGGGTTCGTGTCATTGGTTTCACTTGGTCTTTGATGGGGATTATAGGTTTAGTGAGACAAGTTTTAAAATTTTGAAATATATCATAATGGATATCATTGTATAGATTATGATCAATGTAATACATTTTTTACAAATTAATTAAGAATCCAAATTTAATTCCATAAAATATAGCCAATACAAATTATTAGAAAAAAATTGTTTGAATTTTCATTTACGTGAATAACTTAATAGCATAATTTTACGTGGATAAGCAGCAACTAGCGTGGTTGAACACAAAAATGGATAAATTATGTGTCTTTTTACTCTTTAGGTGTTTTGTCTCCTCTAGTGAATATCAACTTATCAAGGCCACAAAAATGTGTCCAAAATAATTTTGCACTTTATGCCGTTGAGCACGGCTCCGGGCCAGGCTTCATTCACATGGGCCCAACTTTCACATTAATGATAATGGGCTGGACATTAGAAGCTGCGAAGGAGTCAGGTATTTCAAAATTTCCTGCCCGTTTCCAAAATACTTGTTTGAGGCTGTGGGCGGGCCAGACAGGCGAATCGAAACCCGGAAATTCGACGGCAAAAAGCTCGAAGCCAGCACCCACCGTTTCTCGCGGTTGCGGCGATGGCGGCAGCATTGGCGGCGGTGAGGCCATCTTCACTACTTTTTCGGCAATCCACCACGACCAGGCGGCGGGTGTTCTCTCCTCTGGCTTCTCTGTCCTCGTCTCCTCCACCGCCAAACACGAGAACCCTAGTCCTTTATTCAAAGCCTGGTTGCTGTTTGTGCGATGGCCTCAAAGAGAAGCTCCAAGCTGCTTTCTCCCTCTCCAACCCTCCAACCCTTCACGACATCGACCTCCAGGTGAGGGATATCACCACCAATCCTGATTGGGAGAAAGCTTACCAGTACGAGATCCCCGTGCTCGCCAAGCTCCATTCAGATGGCACTCAAGTTAGTGACTTTCTTCCATTATATTGATTTTCAATTTCAGTTCTCAAAGTTTCCAGATTCTTAGTTTGCTTAGTTCCCACACCCAAATCGACTCCTTTCTGTGCAAATTAGGTTATGGGATTGGTAAGGGATGCCTCTCCCAATGACTGATTCAGAAGTGATTGGGACGAAATGGTTGTGGGACTTGGAATGGCCCTACTGATGGATTGGATAATGCTTTAATCTTGATGCTTGATTTGGTCTAGACGCTGTTCTGGTTCTGTTGGTGTTGGAGTTGTTTAGATTTCTATAGTTGTTTAGCTTTTCATTAATGGTGGTTATAGCTTTCATAGCTTTTGCAAGTTAGGTGGTTGCACACGCACCACTCTGCCTTTCATCTAATCTCCCCCCATTGAAATTGTTTTACCGACAATGGCAAACAAATCATCATGCTTTGCCCTGTCTTTTCCCGATCCGTACTGTTTATGGTCATGGCTCTATTATGTATGTTTCTATATGTTTCATTTCCTTTAGCTAGCTTCCATCTCTTTATAGCTTGCTTTATATGGTGGAATCCTGTCGTCATTTGTTATCAATCAAATTAGACCAATTAACCAAAACCCCTTCTTTATTGAATGCTGATATTCATTTGACTGGTCCATGGTTCTGATGACACTAGCTGGCTGTGGAATCTGGTGTCTTCCATTTTGGATATTATGCTCTTGTCAAAGTACCACCAATGAGTTATAACTCTCAGTATGACATGATCACTTTCAGGAAATTCTGCCGAGATTATCTCCTCGACTTGGCGTGGAGCTTGTACAGAAAAAGATAGCAGCTGCCTTCACTGAATAAAGGAAACCCCCCACCAATTTGGCCAAAGGTTGTATTGCGTGTTTTGGATGAACAAACTTGGCTGAAAATTGACATGGTATGTAAAATCTTTTTCATTTGGAAAGATGTCTTGTGAGTGCTTTACTGATGAGATGATTGATTTGCCTCCAGCATTCCCACGTTGCTGAGGCCCTGTGCTTATCCTAGGGAAGATCTAAATTGGGAATTGTCTTGGAAGTTCCGTGGGAAAAATAAACTTGTTGATGTTGCACAGACAACCTTTTGCTTAACTTAGTGGTATACCTGGATCCTCATATGGTGAATATCAATGTCGAATCCTAGCATCTTTAGGGTATCCAACAAGTTTTAAGTTTCTGATTTGTGCATGATGCAGTTTAGTTATCGGTGTGCCTGTCACAACAGAGTAAATGATTTCTCTAGTTAAGGATGGTAGCTTTAAGGTCTATCTTGATCACAATGAGATAGGATTTGAAAGCTGACCAGAAAATTGATAGGGAAGTCGATGTTGTTGCTACTTTAAATGTGGCTTTAATAAGTGAGTGAAAAAGGCTATGGTTTTGACTGGAGAAAGTAGTTGAAAGGAACTTGCAGATTCTTTCATTCCTTCATCTTTCTAAACTTTCTTGCTGATACTATTAGCATTGCTCCATTGTTTTTTCCCCCTATGTTATCAATCAATAATGTGGTGCCTTAAAAATTAATCTACAGCCCACTGAACTCCAGCAATAGGATAGGGGAAAGCTAGGGGCTGCTGTTTCTTGAACCGACCCCTTAACGACGGTGAACAAGGCAAGTTAAAGCTGTAGTGGTTGATAATTTAGCATTTAATCAAAGGGAAACTAGCACCAGCGGGTGTACTATTTAAAACAACCCATCAGCATAATGCGTTAGGCTTTAAGCCAAACCTATTATCTATATCTGTTTTGAGATTCTCTCTTGAAAAAGTTTGTGGTGTTTGGCAGTAGCATTTTAGACGTAAAGAAGAAGAATTTCTAATTGCAGATGAATGGAGATTCTTTTGTACTGCTTTTATGCATGAAAGCAAGGGATCCTTCAGTGAATCTCTTATCTGTGTGTTTCTCTTTTAGAACTTTTTGAAGCTTTTGGTATTTTGTTTGTGGCTCTTGGTATTGAATGAGAAGCCGTGTGTATAAGTTGTGTAATCACATGAGATGGTCAGCTTGAGCCGCGCAGTAAGCTTGGTGAAGAATGAAGACGTTGGTTGGCTAACTAGTTTTGAGCTGCCAAATCGGGGACCCTTTAGTTCATTTGGTATTAGCGACGTAGGGCTGATACAAGTTGAAAATAGTCTAGGAAACTCATCTGGTCAGCTGGTCAGACTATTAAGTATAGGGGTGGGCAACGGGAAATGGGCATTTGGGTATATTCGTATTCGTCCCCTTTTTTAAGAGTTACGAGTACCTAAATACTCGTATATTTTTTTACAGGATGGGATTTGGGATCTAGAATTGCTACTTTGGGTACCTGCGAGTTACCTGTTAATATATAAATATCCGTGTGGATCTTACGAGTACCCGTTATACTCATTAGTCCGAAACCCCAAAACCCAACTGCTACTCCCAACTACCGCTTCTGACTACTTCATATCCGGATTTCTCCAGCAGGCTGTTAGAGGCTTGAGAAGAGGTGAGCAGCCGATTGTTTTAGTGTTTTACTATTGAAGAGGTACGCAGCCCGCTGTTAGAGGCTTGAGAAGGGGTGTGCTTGGCTTGTGTGACTAAGCCTGGCTTATTCTCACAATAGCCTCTCTAGCTTCTCATTATTAGGTGGGTTTGTTTAATGGTGTGTGAAAACTTTTGTAGTTCTTCCTTCAACCGAATCGATATTTACGGGTAGTATGGGTACCTATCTGTCTCGTATGAGTAATGTCATAATGGGTATCCGTTAACACGTATGGATTTGGAACATGGGATGAAAATTATTATTCAAATGAGACTGGGTACCTGTTTCAAACAGGACGGGTGTCCCGTCCCCACCCCTAATTAAGGATTCGTATCTATTTGAAACCTTGTTGATTTATTGTGAATTTATTTGGGAATAAGAGTGAAAATCAACGACAAGCAGACGCGAAAAGACCTTATTTGTGCTTGTGGTCATCCTCGCTGAATTGGCCCTCTTAGCAACTCCGTAGTGGCTGCTGGGATGAGATTTTTTCGAACAAGACATTTTGTCCAAATCTCTCATTTTGATGATGTTTGAATGGAGGATTTACACGAAGGATTTTTGTGACAATCCCAAGTTCTGTGATATTTTGGCTAAATAACTCTCTTGTTCCAAAATGGGGAATTTTCAAGTTGTCTTACTTTTGAAAACTCACGATTGTGAGATTTGAAAATAGTTGATCCAAACTATTTTGAGCCTCTCAATAATTTTTTATCTTCTGAAGCTATCCTAAATGAACAAGAATATGATAAGCATATTATACTCAACAATACCAGTATAAGTAATAAAGATATTCATAAAAATATGGATATTTAATTTTTTAAAATTCAAACTCTAAACACTAATTCTAATATTTTCCTACCAAATGATTACATAAGTAGAAACCTAAATTAAGAAAATGGAAATCTAATGAAGTATTTTTTGTGAAATGAAAAATTGTTCAATGACAATAAAAACTAGGAAGATTTCAAGTTTGTGGGGAATGTCTATGGTGACTCGTAAGTTACCATGACTTGAATAAAATGATCAATCGCTTTGGGTATTTGGTCGACAGATGGCACACTTACCCCGCGATTATTCCTAAAAGTCCGATTGGTGAGAAAGAGTGGCAGACATGTTGATCTACAATTGTTGCACAAACAACTACCTGCGATGTTTGACATCTTTTCTTCTTCAACCGAACTCCAAAGCCAGAAGAATGTAATTACTCAACCAAAAATTTAAATGGTTATTTATATATGCTTATGTTGATGTTAACTTGGATTAAATGGTAGCAAAATTCTTGTTTGCTGCTGAAACCTTTCTAATGTAGGAATCATGTTCCAACACTGATAAAGTAATAGAACGGCAGACCGTTTTGTTTCTATGGTCAACCGTTATATATATATATATATATATATATATATATATATATATGGCGAGTTCTACGGTACCCTGGGTGAAATCCAGGGTACCGCATACCTTGAGTATGAAAATACTATCTAGACCTTGAATTGACCGATCTTTCGGACATGATACTATACTCTAACACTTAAAGATCAAAATCTAGGTGTTAATATTATACTCCAAGATCAATTTAATTAGAAATAATAATCGACGGTTATGATTCCTCCAAATATAGGCACAAAAAGGAATGAATCATCTTAGGGTTTATAGATTATGATTTAGATGATTATGACCTAGGGTTCACTCATTAAGGGTTAGTGTATAATATCAGACACAAAAATCCTGGTAATTCGAGGTCTAGATAGAGTTTCCATACTCGAGGTATGCAGTACCCCGGATTTCACCCGGGGTACCATAGAAGCCACCATATATATATATATATTGTAATAGTAAAGTCTCAGACTAACATTGACAAGGTAATGTACAACCGTTCGACCATTGTCCGTTTGCAATAATAAAAGTTGTGAATCCAGACGCGATCGTTTCTCTTAAAAGGTCTATAAGATTGTTCATGTAATGGTGACTTACAAGTCAGAATAACAAAGTACTAATTATATAGCCCAAATACGACATTCATAATAATAAGGCGAATTATATTTTGCTGCATGGGAGCAGAGGTAACTGAATTGGAGATTGGCTAATTCAACGATCAAGAGGTTGTGGGTTCAACCCATCAACATCTAGTTTTGCTGGTCGGACTGATCGACTTGGTTTGATTTTAACAAGACTTATAGTATCCTCCTTACAAGTTACAAATGACCCATAGAGAACCACCAATTAGACGCATATCAGGATTCCATCAGCAAAACCTTCCAGAGAATTTTTGCTGCTAAAGGTGCACGCATTCAATTTGTTTGCAAATTATTAGTGGCTAAAACTGCATCTCACACCAACACTCAGAGTCTCAGACAGCGATAACACCAATAATACCTTATTTTCAGGCCTACTCATTCCACCACTATCAGTTTCCATATACAAATTCTTAAGAAGAAAGTAAGCATGAAAATATATCATATAAAAAGCAATGAATCTAAACGTTCTGTAGCCAATAAAAAAAATGAGACCCAATAATAATGCATATAATGCCATAAAGTAATTGATGATTCAGTATCCATTTGTTGATTAATCTCTGTTTTTTCAGCCAATTGGCCTCCTCGTAATGAATGGATAAGGCAGGCAGCCTAACGAGTTGCCAAGGGAAAGCTGGTGGCAAAGGAAGGGTTTTGTTAATCTTTATCCAATAGTGGCAAAACTAGGATGAAGTAAAGGGAGGCTGTAGTTCTATTCGATTTTAAAATATAAGTAAAATTATGTGTAAAATTTATAATAAATTAAAAAAAAATAGCATGTTTGGTAAGACTTTAACCCCTCCTTCAATTATCCTATTTAAGATAACCTCACTCATTTAAATTTTTGATCCGTCCACCGACTCCTTGATCGCCTTACGACGTTGTACGAATATGTGGTTACTCGTCTTAGTGACTTACTTCTGATACTTTTTTTTTTCTATTTCGTGTCACTCTATGTACGGTATATAGTTTGCCAACTTGGTGCTAAGTTGGTGCAGAACAAAACTTGAACAATACTCTCACCAAGTCACCATGGAATATATAATTGAACCACCCATTTGATACTTTATGAGATAAAATCATAAAAATAATAAGATTAGAAGAACTTCCTCTAACTATGCCCTATCATTCAGTCTTGTAATATTTTCTTTTGTATATTTTATTGCGTACATCTGTTCTAAGATGTGTTGTGGAGCTATGTGTGTATAAATTTGCATAGATATTTAGTATGAAAATGTATACATATATTTAGAAAATACAAAAAAAATTAATAGAAAGATATAAGTTACTAGTCCCGTTTTGGGGGGATTCATGGTGATAATCCAATATTAGCTGACAAAATTGACCGGAAATTTAGGTTCCAGTGTCGCAAATGGATTGGATTCATGGATTGGTAGATTGGATTAACGGATCTCATGGATTAGTGGATTCATGGATTGGATCAAAAAGATTGGTGGATTAATCCATGAATCCAAATAACATCCAGGCAGTATATCATTATGTAAATTTTGAAAATTTAGGCACTAAAATGTCATAATGAAAATTGTCAAGTATGAAAATGTAAATTTTCAATGATATTTTGGTAAAAAAAATAAAGTTAGGTACCAAAATGTAAAATATAAAATATATAAGTACTCAATTGTAATTTGTCATTTGAATCCATGAAACAATCAATAAATCCACCAATCCAATTGGATTTGGATTTAAATGAATTGGATTAGATTGATAGTTTAGTGAATGGATTGAAAGATATGGTGTTGACATATAAAATCAGTAGGCCACGGTATTGACAAAAACAATGAGCTCAATGAATAATAATTAGTGTCTAGAGATGGTGTCCACTCTTCAAGCACCAGATTAACATCTTTTGAAGCACTAAACCTATGTGTCATTTGGTGGTCAATGAGTCAAATTCTCCACTTACTCAATTAATTGAATATATTATATATATGGTTTTGTTCTTTTAACTTTATATATGGAAATTGGATTTAAAGAGATCCACAATTTGCATTCTGTTTGAAGTTTTTTTCTTCTCTTTTCTTTGGGATTCTGAGGGAGGGATATCATATGAGGGTTTCCTTTTTGCGGTTGGAATGTTACGATGGCCATTTTCTATTCATGCACTTGGATGGAATCTTCACCAACCTATAGAGATAGAGAGGATTCTCGGAATGTAAAATTGGTATCATTCAATTGCTCAGTTCCTTCTTTTTTGTTTTTTTTTTGCTGCAGACACTTTTAAATTTAAAAACTAAAAAAGACACTTTTAAATTTGTGAAACTAGATGCACTTGTATTCTTTTTTTGCTGCTTAATGAAAATCTTTTAATGAATTAAAAAAATAAATTATTTCATCTAAATACAATCAACGATTATATCAATCCTCTTCTTATCCATACAGAGGTTTTACAATCACACTGTTAACCTGCAAATCTACCCACAAAGACTACCCGTAACTGCAATAGACTGTACAAATTACAAACCAAAGTCAATAATTTGAATTATTTGGATGAACTCATCCTCTATATGATATCCGAGCTTGTGGTCAACAGATTTTGTCCAAGATATGTTGGATAGTAGGGATTAGGGTGTTGGTACACAATTTTTGAAAAGTAAAACTTAAATACTTTGTCGTAAATTGTGTGGTCTCAATCACTCGAGTTGTCTATATCCACGAGCAGAGCTATACATTAGCTTTTGCAACTCCTCCCCGTGTGAATTTCAAAACTTACCTATAAATCATTTTGTAATTAAGAAAATTTATGTATAAAACAAAAAGGAGTGAATAGAACTACCCCCAACCCCCACAATTTTTTCTCTATGTTTTCACTTTCCTCTCTAAGAGTTATGTATCCCAGACAATGGTGGGGGCTGCTGTCGGCGCTCCTCCTCCGACCGACATAAGCCCTCTGCCCCCGTCCCTTCTGTTTTCTCTGTTCTCCTCTCCCTCTCACTTGTTACACAGCCTCTGTTTTCTTGCTTCCTTTGGTTATTCTACCCTTTTTTCCTCTCTTTTTCTGTCTTCTAGCTCGTGTTGTGCTTCTCCTCTCATTATCATGATTGTTCTTGAACTCCGACAGGGTCGCTTTCCTCCCCCTGGTGTGGGTCAAACTTTTTCCCTTTGATATGTCTTCAGATCTAAAGATGGTTCTATTCTAAGAGCAAAGGAGGCTGGATCTATCCCAGATTTGGCTGATTTTCTCCTCTCCCTTCCTTTGTTTACCTCCTTGCTTCATCTTGCAAGTCTTGATTTTCCGGAGATGTGTCCTCTTGGCTTGGACTCGGCTGGAGAGCTTTGAAGACCGAAGTCTCTTCCCTATGATTACATCGACGGTCGTCCGGTTGATTGGTGGTTCTCGCGTGGGTGGCGGCCAATGTGTGTTGCTGTCGCCGATCGGCTCGAGGGAGGAAGGGTTTGGGCTGGTGGTTTTCTACGATCCTTCCCTCCTTTTGAGTTTATGGTTGATCCGAAGATTTCTGGTGAGAGCGGTGTCCTGGTGCTCTTTCAGCGGCAACGGTGGTGTTTCCAGAGGGACGATCGGGTGCTAGGGTTTGGGGTGGGCTGAATTTGTGTTTTGGTTCCCCATCTAGGCCCTATTAGGTACCGATTTTGTGGACGGGCCTTTAGGTTTAGCTTTTTTTTAACTTTGGTGTCTTGATTGTAACTGTAACACCTTAGGCGAATCTCACATCGACAAAGCACGGGAGAGATCCATGGTTCATAAATAAGAAACCGACCTTAACTGACAAGACGCGTTTTGGGGTGAAATGGAGGAGTTCTTGGGAGAACTCCGAAGTTAAACGTGCTCAGTGTGAAGTACAACAAAGATGAGGGATCTTATGGGAAGTCACCTTGAATTGCACCCCAAATCGAAAACCGTGAGGGTGGAGGCCCAAGCGGACAATATTTTCTTAATATGCCTAAAACTGCCAATTAGTATTTAATATTCATATTAATTTCCTAAGTTCTTTTTCTGGTAGAAGAGTCGCATAAACTGCCAAACGTTAATTAGTATTTAATATTCATATTAATTTCCTAATTAAGTTATTTTTCTGGTAGAAAAGTCTCTTGAGCCTCACATGAAGTCAACGAATTTATTAAGCTTGTAACTATACATTAGGGCTGGAGGTTCGGTTAGCAGTTTCTGGTTAACCGGCCGGTTAAACCGATAACCGGCGGTTACCGGTTAACCGAGTAACCGAAAAAATAGGTGGCGGGCGGTGTTCGGTAGTCATATTGGCTGTGGCGGTTAACCGGCTAACCGACGAATCTAACCGCCGGTTAACCGGCTAACCGACACAGCCAATTCCCCTTGACACAAAATGGCGCCGCCCCTCCACTCTTCAACATTTCAGAGTTTCAACGACCCTTAAACCTAATTCCCCTTCTTCCGCCCTTCGACTTCGTCATTCTCCTTCCTTCCCCAACCCCAATTCGCCTTCCCTTCGTCTGTACAACACCGGTGACGAATTCAATCCCTCCTGCTAAAGCAGCGAATCGCGCCAAAACTGATCCCGAAGAATCCCAACCAGACGGCGCCGACGGCACGCTCGAGAACAGCAGCAGCGATGTACTGTCCAAGGGCTTATCGACGATTCTCTCAAACGTGATAAGGGCTTCGTCCTTCTCCCCCTGCTCGGCTGCTCCGCCATCTCCTCCTCGGCCAGTTTCCCGACTGGTCGCCACCCGCCAGCCACACAGTCCCCCGCCGGCCGCCGTTGTTCCTCCGCCACCAGAGAAGGGAAGGCGGTTACAACCGACACTGTTTGGGCTTGTGCGGTTTCCTCGGCTAACCGACCAACTAACCGGTAACCGACCGGTCGGTTGTCGGATAACCGAGGAAGGTGGTCGGTCGGTTGGCGGTATGGTTTCCTTGCGTCGCGGTTAACCGGTAACCGACCGTTCGGTTACCGTTTATAACCGAAAAACCGAACCTCCAGCCCTACTATACATTCTAAAAGATAATTATGTAATTTATCAATTAATATATTATCAAATATTAATTTATATTTTATTTATAAAATTTACAAATAAAATGCTCTGCCTTCATATCAAAATTTTACTATTAAATTTTTTGCTTGTAATTTATTCACATAAAATAAAAAATTGTGCGGAAATGAAACTCTAAATTCATCCTAAACAATTCTAACAATCTAAAAAAATAAAAGAAAATTGCAAGTACTAGAGTACAAAATCATTAATTTTCTCTCTAATACCACCACTTAAATTCTGACTCCGTCCCTGTTTTTATCGATCTTTTACATGCTTAACTGCTATTTATTACCTTTCGTGATATTTTCTATAACAATAACCCCACCACTCCCCACCCAAACCAACCAACCAACAACAACAACAACAAAAAAAAAAAAAAAAAACCTCTAGTACATGATCAAACTTACGTGTTCCCTTTTCTATTTCTTTTATCTGCTGCTGCCTTGTTCTTTGTTGTACTACTACACTAACATCTTTTCATTTCCCTATATAAACAGCTACTTCCCGTTTCAGTCTCTGCCAACCCACAGAAGTGAGGAAAAGCTCCAAATCCTCTCTCTCTCTCTCTACCCAGCCAGCCAACATAGAGCAGAGTATTACAAAAAGAAAAATGGGGGAGAAGCAACTGAGCTGCTTCGCGAAAGTAAAGCCATACCTTTTGATGGTGTTTCTGCAATTTGGGTATGCAGGAATGTACATAGTGACGATGGTGTCGTTCAAGCATGGGATGAGCCATTACATTCTTGCCGTCTACCGCCATGTTGTCGCCACCATCGTCATCGCCCCTTTTGCACTTCTGCTCGAAAGGTTTCTTTTTCTATATATATATTCTTCTTATTATTTGGTGTCTTAGCAACTAGTTGATCATTTCCATTTTCCCATATATGTTACTCTCTTTTTATGACAGGAAAACAAGGCCGAAGCTGACACTCCCAATCTTCCTCAGGATAATGGTGCTCGGTTTTCTTGAGTAATACTCTTATACCCCCACCCAAAAAAAAAAAAAAAAAACTATAACATTTGCATATATGGTCTCTCCTTCATCTTACTTTACTTCAACGATGGTCTCTTTTTCATAATATAAATACATATAGTTAACAAATATAATTAAAACTAATAGTATTCAAATAATTCATCTATAGATAAAAGAAAATAACCGCCACTGATACAAATGTTGTTTGCATAAACAATCACAAGACGAGTTTTCATGTCTTGAAAGTTGTGGAAAATGTATTCGTTGGCTACACTCTTAAGTAAGTCTCTGTCGATGTATTCCCCACTAAACAATCATTAGCAAAAACAGGTCGCTAATTTGACTTCGGAGCTTGTTTCTTAATATAGCTCAAGCTAAAAAATGGTCTTTCTACCCTTACAGTTTGCAACCGGTAGAACCACACAGCTAGGTTCAGAAGCCAAATAAACTGACGGATATGAACGATGCACTTTTCTCAATTAATGAATAAGTAATGAGTTATGGTATACAGTGGCAAAACATCCTTATGTAAGTATGATATCTATAAAACGTTAAATATTATTTTTACGTGTCGTATATGTATATTCATATTTTTTTTCCCGAGCAATATCACTGTAGCAAGTAATCCGTTTTGTAGTTATTTGATCACTTGGCGAAAATATCTGGTAATAGATTTTGGGTGTTTTCTAAAAATTGTTGCTTACCAGAGAGTAGAACCCTAGTTTTAATTAAGTTAAAAGACTGTATTTTTAAAGCTAGCTAGACATAATCCGCAGTGAATTACTTTTTGTTCGTATATATGAACATGATAATATACATGCATGCGCCTTATCGCCAAATGTAAATGCGACAACGTTTCTTTCCGGTTTTGTTTTCTTCTCTATTAATATGATGACAGCTGTTCTGTTGGTGGCTGCTGTACGTTGTTCCCGTAGTGTGTGCTGAAGCGGATTGCAAAGTAGGGAAAGAAAAATAGAAAGAAAGAAAGATAGGCCAAACAATTCTTAAGGAACCCAAATTTATGAATAATTTTCACCAACGGGGTAACTAAATTAAATAAATCAATATTTTACGTCATATGATGCAACCAAAACGTTTTTACGGATAAAACAAACTTCATTAGTGATTGATTTGTTGACGACGTCATTACGATTAATAATAATATATCAGGCCAGTGCTGGACCAAAACCTTTATTATGTGGGAATGAAGTACACGTCGGCAACATTCACAGCGGCTTCCGTCAATATCCTGCCGGCCATTACATTCATCATGGCACTCATCTTCAGGTAATAATAATATCAATCACTAATTACTTCATAATAATATTTACGACGTAGTAATTAAGTTGGAAAATAATAATAATAGGTTGGAAAGCGTGAATCTGAGGAAGATACGCAGCGTGGCGAAAGTAATCGGGACGGTGATAACGGTGACGGGAGCCATGGTGATGACCCTCTTCAAAGGCCCCATCCTCCGTTTCCTAACCCCGTCTCTTCCGTCCGCTGCTCACTCGTCCCACGGCTCCTCCGCCGCCGACGACGGCCACCCGGCCGACCAGCACTGGATCGCCGGCACGCTCATGCTCATCGGCAGTTGCTGCGGATGGTCCGCCTTCTTCATCCTTCAGGTCACCATATACCTACATGCCCTTTTTATTTAGAGGTCGTCTGGATGAGTTATTATATAAGTTATTATACGGATGAAAACAACTCTTAAAAAATTATTTCGTTATATTTATGAGCTATTATTTTTCATGTGATATTTTCTCATTATTGAGTTATTTCAGAATAATCTGGTATAAAATAATTCATCCCAAATTTTTTTTCACACAAATGAGTTATTTGGTCATAACAGTAACTCATCCAAACGGACACCTTTGTATATTGACACGCACGCACGTAAAATTTATTAATTAGTTCGACTGACTTTCATTAGTGATTTTACAGTCGTTCACGTTGAAGAAGTACCCGGCGGAGCTATCGCTGACGGCGCTGATATGCCTGCTGGGGACGGTGGAAGGTTCCGCCGTGTCGCTGGTGATGGAGAGGGACATGAGTGTGTGGAAGATCGGCTTCGATTCCAGGCTTCTTGCTGCTGCTTACTCCGTAAGTTTAAAGGATTCGAACTTATGACCTCCAGATTCAATGCCAGCGATATATATATATCAATATCATGCAGTCTTTCAATTCATATGTTGCAGGGAATCGTGTGCTCGGGGATCGCATATTACGTACAAGGAGTGGTGATTAAAGAAAGAGGCCCCGTGTTTGTGACGGCATTCAGCCCGCTCTGCATGATCATCACGGCGGCTCTTGGCTCCATTGTTCTCGCTGAAGATATCCGCCTCGGAAGCGTGATTGGAGCGGTGATCATAGTTGTGGGGCTCTACACTGTTGTGTGGGGGAAGAGCAAAGACGTGAAGAACTTAACCGGCGACGAAGCGGAGGCGGCAGCAGATGGGAATGGAAATGGTAATTGGAAAATTAGCGGCGGGCAGGAGCTGCCGGTGGTGGCGGTCGCCGCCGCCGCCACCACCGCCCGGCATTGATGATGATCTCAAAAAATGAATGGGGCCGACGAAAACGAATCATCAGTTCCGGCCTTAGCTATATATATAAACTCGCTGTGATTTGAGATCGATGTTAATTGAAACATATATTGCATAATCCACCGCTTTAATTTCTTTTTGTTTTTGTTTTCCCACATCGATCTCTATGTATGTAATTATTGATATGATTCTGCCGAATTAATTGCGGTGTGAAGCCGGAAACTGGTTTACAGACTTTCAAACTAAAGGTGATTAAACAAGATATAACCCAAATGCGAGCCATCACTTTGACGTTCACCATGTTGATTGCGTATATGCTCTGTTGATACTCAAGGTGTTTCGTGTCTTTTGACTCGTATATGTTTCGTGTTTCGGGGTATATCATATCCAACAATATCAATATAATTATATTTTGCTACAAGATATAGCGTTCTTTACATAGATGCCTGTCGATTTTGTATGCATGACCATAATCGTTATTTTGATTATCCTCTTTATTTCAAAATGATCTCAATCTTCATTTGAATTTGTATAACATTAATGATTAATGAACAACAAATTGTGTTCATCAATAACCATTGTAAGGAGACACATGGGCAAGAATGCAAGGGTTAGTTATAATTCTCGACTACATCACCATATTAAATAGTAAAATGGTATATTTGGTTCACCATTCTACGATCTGAAGAGCTTGAAAGCTCTGCTTCTCAAGAAAGTCACCGACCTCTAGCTAACTAAATAAATAAAGTTATTGGGATGATGTCTGTTTTTTTTAAACGTTTATAAGGTTCTTTTATATTATCCAAACTTATTAAAATGCTATTAATTAGTCAAATCTTTCGTAATGCATTAAAATATTAGCCATTTTGACGTTATTGTTAATAATTTTGTAATTCTTTTATTAATTAAAATACTAAACTTTTGGAATGTTGACCTTCATGTGTCTATTCCAAGTTCGTATCATGTTGGCAAGCCAATATTACTAACAAAATTGCTAACTGAAACAAAATTACTAACTGAAAGTTAATATTTGGCTAATTTGTAGTATTTCAATAGGTTTGGCTAATAATAAAAAAATCGAAAAAAGTTTGGCTAATAAAAAAAATTCAGAAAAGGTTTGGCTAATAATAATTATGGTTCAATATTACAATAATATTTCACCATTTCAAATAGTACACCATGAAAGCGCCCACAACCACACCTAAACTGCTCTTCTGAAATCTAACCCATGCCCCCAATCCATAACAGAAGTGCTAGACTGCTTCAGAAGACAAAGAGAGAACAGGGCTCACCTCGTAACTGAACCATTTATCCAATCAACTACTCCATGACATATTGACATCCCTAGTCAGACAGTCAAGCTGCGACCAAGTTCTCTGCTCATACCGATTCACTGACCATTAGATACCAACTATCCTTCCTTACTAATAACCTATTTCTAAGCAACCATAAGAGAGAACCAACCGGGAGAGGTGGCCGGAAAATAGTAACAAGAGATATAAGCAACTAACAAAAGATGATACTTATCTCTAGTTTCAGTTGATCCGACAGTGATTTCATTTTCTGGCCCTTTAGCGAAATCATTCTTTGGCGCCCCCCATTACTCTGCATCAGAAACACATCACGCCATCAAGTGGTGATCTGAACATGTAGCTGAATGCCATCAGAACATAAGTGATTCGTATGGCCTTCAATTTAACCAAGGGTTCAGAGAATGAATACCCAAGAATTCTAATTAGCAGGATCAAGTCCCCTTTTTCTCGACTCCTATGACAGTTATCTTAGAACCAAGGGGTTGTTTGGTTACTTACCATCATCGTCAAGTTCCTCGTCGCTCTGGCTTTCTTCATCAACATCGTTGTCTGCATCTTCATCCTCGTTATTTTCATCATCTTCTTCATCATCTTTGTCCTCTGCTTCGTCACTGTCGCTCTCACTTTCTATAGGTACTTTGGGTGGCTTAGGAGGAGGGGCATAACTGCTTGTTGACCTCCTCCGTGAACTGGACACAATGTTGCTCATGTCAATGCCCTCAAGTTCTTTGGCTCTCTCCTTTCTCCTCCTAACTTCTTTTATTTCTGGGGCACAGCAAAACAAACAAGAGAAGAAAAGCAACTCTCAGCTAATCCTTGATGGTAAACAAGATCAATGCAATCCTCTTTTCCATTTCAGAGTCCATTTAACTCTTGGTCATAACAAACAGTTATAAACCAAAATCCTTCCAGTAAATTTCGCCCAAATGCAGCCTACTCAGGTCAATGCCCTCAAGTTCTTTCACGAACTGCAGCAGACCTTAGAAAGATTTTGTGCGCATTGAATTGTAAGAGACAATTCCTGGAAATTTTCGAGTTTCAAGTCTCATTGCATTGGATGCATAAACATAAAACATCCAATCTTAAAGCATTTCAGCCATAACCCTAGTAAAAAAAAAAATGTGATCTTAAACCTCAGTCCATGAAGTTCATGTAGAGGGTTCACAGAACCATACAATAAAAAACATGTCTAGAGCTTCATATAGACCACAACTAACTCTCACCTTTTTCAGAAGGATTTGATGACAAGTCTTCTCTAGAAAGTATAGCCTCCAGCTCTCTTATTAGCTCTGCCTCGCGTTTATTTTCAGGCACCTGCTTCACCTTCTTATATATAACTGGCGGAATACTGAAAAATGAATGCATTTAGTTAGGGTGGCAACATAAATTAAGTTCCGCCAGGTTTGGGTAAACTGAAGGTAATTTAACCTCATCCCACAAGATTTGATAACAGATTTGAGATGCTCCACACGCTTTCCATATGTCGGGGCAGGAGTAGAAGCTTCCCTTTTCTGCATGAAAATCAATGTAGAGATTACATTTGACTGCTGTATTTTGATTAAACATGACACAGAAGTTCCGAGTTGTTTAGACCTTCACTGGTTTTTCTTGCGATGACTGAGAATCACCATTGTCAGATGCATTTTCTTCATCTGCCGATTCGCTATTGTTATGTGATGGAGCTTTTGAAGGCTTGCTTTGCTTCTTAGCAGATGCCTTGGATTCCTTCCCAGACCTTTTTCGTTTTTTTGGTCCCTCACTGTTCACTGTCTTCTCTTTTGAAGCAACCTTACGTTTATGTGTTGCTTCATCATCATCCTTGCCTGATGAATCTGATCTCACATCACTGCTCACTCTTTTAGCACTTCTATCCTGAGATTTATTCATCACAGTTTTCTTCTTTGAAGCATAGACTTCAGGAGACTGCAATACCTGGCATATCATGGAACCGTCAGGAATCTATAGATGAAACTAGAGAATACACAAAAAATCATAAAAGAATCTGAGTTCACCTCATCTAACTGAGTGCTTATAAACTTCTTGAACGGATCAAGTGCACCATTATCAAGTTTAAGATCTTCCTCTAGAAGTCGACGCAGTCCAGCCATTGTAATGCTTCTGAAATTAGAAGAATCGATATGTTAGTTCAATTAGTAGAACTGCATGTTCACTAACAAGAGTACATATAATCCACGAAAACCATAGCTGCAGTACTACATGTTACAGATAAAAAAACTATTGAAAGTACTAAATACTTACTCAGAGTTAGCTCCAATATATGAAGCCCTCTTCAAAATGGCCTTTTTTATGATGCTCTCATTTGGCACTTTCTTCTCAATATCTTTGGTTCTAATACTTTCCGTTTTAGATTTCTTATGTCCAGTCAGAAGTCCCATTACAGGGGAATCTTCCATTTTCTCCTCCTCACTGTCATGATTCTTTGAGTCAATTTTTGATACATCACCTCCAGGTATTTCTGATGCTTCTTCTTCAATTGAACATGCGGCTTTTGAAACCATTTCTGTTGAATCCTGCTGGTCACTCCCATCAGTAACGCCCTGCATGCACTGAACCAGAAAAATATTAATAGAAGCAACTGAACTGAAGGTTTTGTTTGTTGTTGAACCAAATCACACTTTAATATAAGAATGATATAGATTAATTAAGCTATGCCAATCAAGCAGTGGTGAGACAAAAATTACTAGTGCACAGTAAATAACAAATATTATAATTTTCAATATCCAAATAGAAATTGGAATCAAGTGGTGCTGCAGGCAGTCAAAACGAACAGCCTGAGCAGTGATGTTGATATAATATTCAACTGCGTAACAAACAACTTTAGGTACAATGATTCTCTTGCAGTTACATAGTCCAGATAGCCAAGTCAAGAGCCAGTACATCCATGAATTCCACACTTGATGCTTCCAAAATCACTTGTTAATTGTTATGTTGATCGACATATACTCAGCATTACTTGGAAGTAAACGAAAAGATGTCCGCAAGTACGATAACCAAAACAGAAGACAAAGTCGGGGACAAACGCAAGAGCTTCAAAAGCCATCACGCAAAATTCCCCAGGCAACAGGAAAAGTTTCTTAACCTAAAGGGAAGAGAGCGGCCTACCTCCAGCAGCAATTGCTTCACAAATCTCTTATGCACATCCAAAGCAAATTTCTCCAGACCCAAGTCCTCTTCCAAAACCCTCCTTACTCCCTCAAATGTCAGAGAACTACAAGTGGGCAACGTTCCAATATAGCGGCATTAACAACTCCGGAAAGCAACTTAAGAAAAACGAAGAAACTAGAGGGCAATGAGGCGAGAGCAGTTCAAAGTTCAAACATTTGCTGTCTAAACCTACTTGTATCGCTATCAAAAAACAGTTATTAGCTGGACTGGCTCGAGTATACACCAACAGTACTGAAATCACACTACTTGGTAGCATAAAAGTAAAATTCGAAGCGCTGAACTTGCTGCGGAACTCAAAGCCCTAAAATTCAAAGAGAGAAAGAGAGAGGGAAGAATACTCTGCTAGATCTTTGAAGTAGTCGACGCGAGACCGCATAGCAGTCCTAATTTGGGACTCGACATCTGGCGGCGCGTCATTGATCTCCGCCGGGGCCTTTGCCGCCGGCTGGGTGGCATCCTGTTTCTCCTCTGCCATCACCAGAGCTAGTAACTGGAGTGTATCGGTTCCGTCCAAAAGAAAGAGAACTGTATGGGGCTCGGTCCGGTTACTGGGTGTATTGGTGTATAATGTAAAATCTCACGCAGTGATTATTTTGTTTTTCTTTTATGGTGTTACTAAATCTCATATATTGTGTGCGTGGCACTTGTAGGCCGGAAGTTTGGTAATCGTATCTGAATATATACCGAATACAACCGAATTTATAATTATTTGATATTATCAAATACCGACTTAATTTTTAGGAATTGAATTTGTGATTCATTTTAGAGTGTTATTCGGTATTCGATATTAGGGAAATGGAATCGGTATATACCGAAATACAGAGAAATACTAAAAATTAAAAATTAATGAAATAATATAGCACAAAACCTTGGTCATTCCTCACTCTTTCACAATTTTAGAAGTCCCCATCCAACTCAATTTTGACTTTCCAGTTTAATTCACTCTCGTCTCTCACCTAATCTCATGTTATAGTGATGGCAATGGGGCGGGACGGGGCTAGTACCTCACTACCCATGCCCCGCCCCCACGCTACTACGGGTCGGGGCGGGTACAGGGCTGGGTAGATCGACCCACTCTTACAAGTTATTTGCAAAAGATACACGCAAATTTTGCTTTTTACGATAAAACGAATGTGAAAACACTTTATGAATGAAAAATAGTGACTATAAAATGGGCATTGAGTCTAATAAGTTGAAAGATCGACTATAACTAGTTGAAGTAAAGTCAAAATAGGAGAAATATGTATGCATACTGTAAGAAATTTAGATAGAATGGGTCAAGAGCGGGACGTGGTTTGAAGTAGATACTAATGCCCCGCCCCACGTTACTGTGGGTCGGGTGATACCCGCCCCATCACGGGTCAAGTTGGGTAATACCCGCGGGGCGGGTTCAAATTGTCATCACTATCATGTTACTTTCATAACACCAAAAATAAACACTAGTATTAGTTGCCTCTCAGCTTCCAATTCGTCAAATTAAAGATTTAACAACGACAAGAATTTGAGATGTCACCTCTCCTCCATTATCCTTATCCATATCATAGCTCTAGGTAAACTCAAGACTCTTTACTTAGTCTCTTTGCTCAAAATTAAACAATCAAATCTAATTTATATATTTAATTATTAATTGCAAAGGTAATTAATTTTTTATTCAATAATATCGATTGGGATACCGAAATATTTAGGGATTGGGATTGGGATACCGAAATTATTTAGGGATTGAGATTGAGATTGATTTTAGGGTGTAATTCGGTATTTGGTATTGGGATAGCGATATCGTACCGATTTTCCCCCTACCCACTTGGGTTTGTTTCAATTCAACTTTTATTAAAAAAAATAGAGAACTTTTAAAGCATAAAAAATTGATTTCATAAGGATTAATGAAAAGTATAGTTTATTGGAGATGATACATTTTACTAGATTTGGCTTTGCTATAGCTAAGGGGTGGGCCCAGATTGTATCTCGGCTACCCACTAATTTTTAGTAAACCTTTGTTATAACTCTTATTATTTGACATTATTATTGATAATGATTAAAACCTGAATTAAATGTAGCACCCCAGATAAAACACGGATAATAGATAAAAAAATAAAAAAAATAAGAATTTGATAACATTGAAAAAATGACAGATAATTGAAGAAAATATATATAAACAAATGACAATCACCGCCCATCCGGCGGGCACAAAAGTAGTAACATATTATGGATGGGTTAGCTTATAATGAACATCTTTAGCTTATTTCAATAAATTTTTATGAAAAATACTAGACATATGTTGAAGCAAATTGCGCTTTATCAATATCCAAACAATAACTTCTATGCATTTTGATATTTTCCACCTTGGTTTATTTGCTTAAAATTTGAATTAGCTATAAAAACATTTAGTGTTGGGTTGGTTTGACTTAAAAATATAGTCCACCCCACCCAGTCCATTCATAAACAAACCATAGGGTTAAAGCTTTTTTGGTTGGGTTAGGATTTAGTAATTTTAAAATCAAAGTGTATGGGTCGGGTGAGCGACCAAACCCGAACAACCCGATCCATGTACATACACACACCTAGCAATGAGTGGATTGGGTGGGTTTGGTCTCAAATTGACTTATCCATTTGCTAACAAGTTGATGCAATTGTGACTTGTTATCCACTTGTATTCTTCTTTGGGCTAGATGGGTGGTGGGTCGATGTGTCATGTGGTTTCATTACACCTCTCAATCTGTCTCATGTAAATCTGTCTAATATATGTTTGGCAAATAGAAGGGTGCAAGTTCGAGCGGGTACAAATTGAGGTAAAAATTGTAAGAGGTGCAAAATTTAGAAGGTGTAAATTGTTTTTTTTTTTTTTTAGGTAGATAGTTAATAGATAGGGAAATACAACGAGTTGAAAAGTAAATAGCGGTAATCAGCCAATTGCTGATTCACCGATGCAAGAGCCGTTTTCGCCACGCAATGGGCAGCCCTGTTAGTATGCCTAGAAACATAAATAACCGAATAAACGCAAAGAAAGTCTTCTTTCGACAAACTTCTTGAAACACCAATCCGCCAAGTATAAACGTCACATCGTCTATAAGCCAGGTTCCGATAGGCTAGGAGTAGATCTGATATGCAAGTTCCCTGCGAAAACAGACAATCGACCCTCAAAGAGGCAAAACAAAACTCAAGTACCACCAGGTTGCCACCAATTGTTCCACAAGTTATGCAAAATCCGCGTTCTACAGCCCAAAAAACCAATTATACCAAAACCGACTAGTAAAGGAAATACACTCCACGCCTAACGAAAAACAATTCTTTAATGTTAGTAAGAGACATAAAATAAGAGGATACAAAACCAATGCATCACCACAACAAAAATACCAAACACACATGTAATTATAATAATGAAATATATAATTAGTAATTAATTGGTAAAAGACTTAGCTAAAAGTGGTTGGGATCCACGGATGATGGGATTGGAACCGCCTATTCGGCAAAATTGTAACTGCCCTGGTATTGTAACCGACCAAATCATTTTGCATCCAAAGATTGAAGGCTTCAAATTCGTAACTGCCACCGAATGTTGGATGCCAGAATTGGAAGCGGGAAGAGGGAATAGCCTGGAATCGCCGCTGCTACATACTGGCCAAACTGCCAACCATAGTACCGCTGTAGCATTCCTGTCGGTGGTGAGTCCTACAAAACGAACAAACAAAATAGAGCCGCTCTATGGCACTCTGTAGCTCCATGAAAATGGAGTTGAACAGGCCCATAAGCCAGATGCGGTAATCTGAATACCGAAACAGAGAAGAAGCTCAACGCGTCACGGAGATCCAAGAGATTGTTCTCCGCCGCCATAACCACCTGATTTGCTCTCGCTGCGGCTCTGTTTGTGGGAAAAGAAGCGTCGACGGAACAGAGGATTTGAGATGAGGGAGCGCCACCGCTTGCAGACGGATCGTGTTTGCGTGATGACTTGACGCGGGCCGAAACGGCGACCCAAACGCGACGGACGGGGAAGACAACTTTGTTCCACCAATCCATCAATCGGTCTTTAACTCTGAATCCTTTCCTCTAGCCGGCGCCGGCGACCAAGCTGCACCACTTCCGCCTCGACCGCCTGAATCCGCCGCCGTCGTCCTCTAAGAGACCATGATTCATCTTTCTCCCTACTATAAAACTCTCTTTCCTTATAAAAATCTGCTGATTTAATTTTATTAGACCGCGAGTTACTGTGAAAAAATCGCGAACTGTTGATACAAATCTCAACTTCACCGCCGTTGACACCCAGAAACCACCATCGCGTTCATCGCCAACAAGGTTACGCCGGCCGACAACCCTCTTTCTACTCCCTTCTGTCAACTCAAAAGCCTCCTAATTAGCAATTCTCCGGTCATTATCGCCATTAATGAGAGAAGAAAAAGTAAAGAAAAGGGTTGTTTGGTCGATGGGAAAATTTCCCTGAGAGCACAGCAATTGAGAAAATTGTTGGTTGGTATGAAAGTGCCTATACACTTTTGTCGCATCAAGTTTTGTCGTCGTTGTCGGGGATCGCCATACTTAAGATATACTTATTTTAGTTGAGTGAACTGTTTTAATATGTGTTCTATCATGCATATAATTTTAGGTACCTAAGAGGTACTTCTGCTAGATCCAGATATCGAAAAGACCTACAAGAAAATCAAAAGCATGCAAAAGTAGAGAAGTGAACCACATCAACACTAGTAACTACTTTAAACAGGGGTAATCATAGCAGGCCATCAATCTCTGCTTCTACAAAAGAACACCACCACCACCTCGCATAGTCATCGAGCCTAGCATCATGGCGAACCCTAATGGAAATCCACAACCACTACTAGAGGACATGTCTAACAAGGCCAAACTTAATAGAAGATCTACAGGCCGAGCTTTGAGAGTTGTCATTCCTGCTAGGAATGCTAAATCGGATATCAATCCTGCCTTTATTAATATGATCACAAATAGCCTCACTTGTTATGGCTTGGGTACAGAGGATCCCCATGATCATCTCAGGAGGTTTTGCAACATTTCTAATACTAAGAAAATTTCGGGAGTTTCAAATTATGCTATTCACCTGAGGTTGTTCTCTTTTTTCACTTCTGGACGTGTCGCACATTGGTTTCAAAATCAAACACCAGATCCATCACCACATGGGTGCAATAGGAGAAAGCGTTCTTGGATAAATATTCCCACTCGCAAAAGCCATGAGATTTAGAGTTTGAGAAAACTGATGATAAGAGCCTCAATTAAGCTTGGGAAAGTTATAGAAAACTACTACTCAAGTGCGCAAGCCATGGTTTGGATGAGTGGAATGTCATTAATTACCATCTTTTTTATGGGATTAGGAGGGAGTTCAGACAAATCCTGAACAATGCATTTGGTGGAAGATTTACTTCTTTATAGTCGGGAGTTGGATATGACCTGATTGAGAAGATGTGTTCAGATGCCAATTGGTGGGGTGGAGAAAAGAGCTCTAGAAGAAGAAGAGGTATTCATGAAGTTGATAAACTTGCTGATATAGAAGCTCGTATAAATGCCAAGTTTGATGCACTAGTAAGGTAAATGACTAACTTGTCACTTATTTCTGCGGAGAAACCTATTATTTGCGAGTTATGTAGAGGTGCCCACCAATGGGAGTAGTGCCCAATAAGAACAGCCTAGTTGGACGATGTTCAAACTAACAATAGTTAGAGGAATCAAGGTGGTCTATACTCCAATGCTTATAATTCGGAGTGGCGCAAACATCCGAATGTTTCATAGGCTAACAACAAAACTAGCATCCACAAAAATAATCCACACCACGCTTCCAACCACCTCAACCACTACCTCAACAAGATAGTAAGCCAAATCCTAAAGAATACTTACCCATATGTAGAAGGTCGATACAAACATGAAGGGGTTGGACTAGTTTGTTGCTCATAGAACCCGCCAACTTAAAGAGAAAAGGTGATCACAACATTATGCGTTCCTCCATCCTTAAAATGGGTGAGCAAATGAGTCAAATGAATCAAATTCTAGCAAATTTTCGAAGTCACATTGAAGGTAATTTCAATGAAAATCTCAATATGAACTCAAAAGATGCTAAGAATGCATGAGTAATCATATTGAGGGGTGGAAAACAGTTGCCAGAGAATGAGTCTAAGGATTGCAAAACAATTATGCCTCTACGACTCAAAAGTGTCAAAAATCAGCATAAAAAGTGGTTAAGCCTTATTAGCCACCTGCACCCTTCCCACAAAAGTTAATGAAGAGCCAGGAAGATCCAAACTATACGAAGTTTATAAATCACTTCAAGAAACTCCACATCACATCCATTTTGCAGAAGCACGACAACAAATGGCAAAGTATGCGAAGTTCTTGAAGGAATTTATCATTAAGAAAAGAAGGTGGGTTGATTTGGAGAAAGTGACTATTACTTCAGATTGTAATGGGGTTATTCAGAACAAGTTTCCAAAAAATAAGGATGATCTAGGGAGTTTCAGCATTGCTTGTGTCATTGGAGTTAGTAATGAATTCAATCGCTCACTATGTGATTTGGGAGTTGGAATCAATTTAGTGCCTTACTTTTGATACAAGAATATGAGATTTAAGGATACTCTATGTACAAGGGTGTTCTATGAAAGAAAGGTTCGAGTGATCCTAAATTAACTCATTTCTCCCATTCCATGCGTGCGACCCCCTTTTCTTGTCTGGTTCTTCCATTGTCTTCAATTGAAGGGGCTATCGATTTTCGTTCCTTATTGTCCTCTTATCTGTTAAATATGATCCCAAATTCTAGTACTTTGACATTTTGGTCTTACCATTGGAGTACATTTTTTTCCAGATTTTAGAACTTTAGTCCTAGAGTTGGAGATGTTATTAGCGGAAGCATGGTTGTCACCCTGGTGGAATGCTGGCCGGTTAAACTGGTTCCGGTCATGAAACCAGTATGATCACCGATCGATTTATGACCTCTAGGCAACATGAGGTCGTTTTAGTGAATTTAATTCATAACATAAATTATTATTTAATTTATGAATTTAAAGTTATATTGATGTTATTTTTTGGATTCAAGTATCAATGTTTACTATTGACATTAAATGTTATATTTAAATATCAACAATTGTTATTTTATTTGGAATGTCGTATTTTATTAAAATATGAATATCAATTGTAAGTAAATTTTCTTTTTACATATAATTAAATTCACTTGATACTAGTGGTTTTTCACATTTTTACATATTTTAAAACACTGATATAAACCAATTATGCTACAAATCAAACCATTTCACTTGTTAAACCAGCTATATAAACCTCTTTCACAACCTTCAGCAGAAGTCATGTAGGGTTAATTCCCTAAATATTGTTTTTTATTTATTTACCACGAATATTGTGTTTTTAAAAGTATTTACAACAATATTGTGTTTTGATGAGGAAAGTTGGCGACGGCGCCCGAGACTCAGCAAATAGAGATTTTTAAGGTGAAGCCAGCGAGGGCGCCCCAGTCTATGGCGCCCTCGCTGGCTTCCTTTATTTTTTAATTCCCCTCCCTCGTCCAGCACCAGACACCCCACCCATTCATCCCTTCCCTTTCCCTTACCTCCTCTCATCCTCCCTCCATCCCCTCCTTCACCCTACTAGCGCCGACGCCAACAGCCGAGCGGCGAAGCCTAGCAGTTGGCGGCAGCGCCTCAGACCCAGGCGGCGGCGCGGCGAAGAGAGCGGCAGCGCCCCAGCAACAGCGGCGACGCAGGATGTCCGACGACGAGCAACAAGCCCCCGGCGACAGAGGAAGAGGCTGAGGGCGGCGAGGGCGGTGACGGCGGCGAACGGTACAGAGGTGAGTTTTTTTATCTCGCCGGCGGCGGCCGGAATCTCGCCGGCGGCCACTTTTTCCAGTTCTAATTTTTTTTTATGTTCTAATATTTTTTTATTTTATGTTCTAATATTTTTTTTTCCCAGTTCCTAGGCTTATCGATCCTTGTTCGATGAGACCACCACCTGCGACGATCGATACTGCTCCGATGGATCCAGAACTTCTTTGGGGGCATGGTCACCATCGGATCGACGCAGTTTGGGCAAATGAGGTAAGTTTTTTCAAACTATTTCTATAGTTTTATTAGCTGAATAATATGATAGAATAGAATTAAATTAAATTACGATTGAAATTAAATTAAATTAGGAATAGAATTAGATTAAGTTACGATTATATTATATTAGAAAAATTTTAGTTTAGATATATAAATATAAATATTAGGTGAATTGAAGGAATTGAATTAATATAGTTTTGTGCATTAATTATAGGCTGGTGATCGTATATTTAATTATTAATTACAAAGGTAATTAATTTCAATTCCAGCCTATAATTAATGCAAAAAACTATATTAATTCAATTCCTTCAATTCACTTAATATTTCTATTTATATATCTAAACTAAAAATTTTCTAATATAATATAATCGTAACTTAATCTAATTCTATTCCTAATTTAATTTAATTCCAATCGTAATTTAATTAATTTAATTCTATTCTATCATATTATTCAGCTAATAAAACTATAGAAATAGTTTGAAAAAACTTATCTCATTTGGCCAAACTGCGTCGATCCGATGGTGACCATGCCCCCCAAAGAAGTTATGGATCCATCGGAGCAGTATCGATCGTCGCAGGTGGTGGTCTCATCGAACAAGGATCGATAAGCCTAGGAACTGGGAAAAAAAAATATTAGAACATAAAAAAAAATATTAGAACATAAAAAAAAATATTAGAACTGGAAAAAGTGGCCGCCGGCGAGATAACGGCCGCCGCCGGCGAGATTCCGGCGGCCGCCAGCGAGATAAAAAAACTCACCCCTGTACCGTTCGCCGCCGCCGCCACGCCGCCCTCGACCTCTTCCTCTGCCGCCGGGGGCTTGTTGCTCGTCGTCGGACATCCTGCGTCGCCGCTGTTGCTGGGGCGCTGCCGCTCTCTTCGCCGCGCCGCCGCCTGGGTCTGAGGCGCTGCCGCCAACTGCTAGGCTTCGCCGCTCGGTTGTTGGCGTCGGCGCTGGTAGGGTGAAGGAGGGGATGGAGGGAGGATGAGAGGAGGTAAGGGAAAGGGAAGGGATGAATGGGTGGGGTGTCTGGTGCTGGACGAGGGAGGGGAATTAAAAAAAAAAGGAAGCCAGCGAGGGCGCCCCAGTCTATGGCACTGGCGCAATTTGAAATTTTTGAAAATTTCAAATTGCGCCAGCGCCATAGACTGGGGCGCCCTCGCTGGCTTCACCTTAAAAATCTCTATTTGCTGAGTCTCGGGCGCCGTCGCCAACTTTCCTCATCAAAACACAATATTGTTGTAAATACTTTTAAAAACACAATATTCGTGGTAAATAAAAAAAAACAATATTTAGCGAATTAACCCACCCTCAAACCACTAAAGTTACTCACCCTCCCATTTTCAATTTTCATTTCCGGTGTTAAAAGCTTGAAAGAGACGAATCGTCGTTTCACTCCTGAACTGGCGTCGTTTTCGCGAGATTTTGGCATTCGGATTTCGGAGGAGAGAGAGACGAGCAAAGGGTTTTCGGCAGGGCAGGCAGAGAGAGGAAAACAGGAAGCAAGGCCGCGGCGTCATCAGCTGCGTTGCGCAGAAGCAGCGAAATTGATCTGAGAAGACGAGAGAGAGAGAAAGAGAAATAAGAAAAGCCGAAACCTCTGATGCCGCCATCTTCGCTTGTTATAGCTGGCATTCCGTTCCCCTTTCGCCGTCGATAGAGAAAGGAAGGCAGCGAATTGGGAAGAGGTCGGAGACTATAAAGGGATAATCGTTACTTCATTTCCCCCCCTGCGCCAGTGCTGCTGCTTTCTGATAGTCATCCGCTCATTTCTCCGTCGATTCGATCGTCGTCGAGCTTTCCTGCTCACAGAAAGAACAGTAGCGAAAGCCATTGGCGAAAGGAGGGACAGGAAGACGGGAATTGAGATATCGGAGATCAGATCGCGGTGGTGAAGTTGTCGACTTGGTAGTTGTGCCTGCTGTGCTCCAACTTGCTGCGCTCCTGTCACCGATCGTCGTCCTTCGACCTCCCATTGTGGATAGTTTGTGTGAGTTTGCGTCCGATAAGCCCTGGGATTGGTCCGTGTTAATTATCTCTACGCTCAGTGTAGAATTACAGGTTCTCTTTGTATTCCGTATCTAATCCATTGTGCTTGGACAGCCTTCTTTTTCCAGATCTAGATTTCGTTATATGCGATGGATACGAATCCTTCCCGTGCCTCTCTCGATCCAGTGGTTGTTTGAATCTATACGAGTTTAAGCAGCTTGTTCATTTAGTGCTGCTGTTGCTCCAGAATGACTATGGGGCATCAGGCAGGAACTGCTGCTTCACTCCAGAATGAAGTCGGCAGTGCCCTTCACAAGCCTACAAAGGGTGCTTTCGCCTGCATGGTTAATTCGGAAATTGGTGCAGTTTTGGCTGTGATGAGGAGAAATGTGAGGTGGGGTGTTCAGTATGCCGCAGATGATGACCAGCTGGAGCATAATCTTATTCACTCATTGAAAGAATTGAGGAAACAGGTCTTTACATGGCAGCAAGACTGGCATCAAATCGAACCGGCTATATACCTCAACCCATTTTTGAACGTAATTAGATCCATGGAAACTGGAGCACCAATCACGGGAGTTGCTCTGTCTTCTGTGTACAAGATACTGACACTTGATGTGCTTTCTGTGAACACGGTAAATGTGGGAGAGGCTATGCAACTGATTGTTGATGCTGTTACAAGCTGTAAATTTGAGGTTACTGATCCTGCCTCCGAAGAAGTAGTGCTAATGAAGATTCTTCAAGTCCTGTTAGCATGCATGAAAAGTAAAGCCTCATCCGAGTTGAGTAATCAACGTGTGATTAATATAATAAATACTTGCTTCCGTGTGGTACATGAAGCTAGTTCTAAAGGAGAATTGTTGCAGAGAATATCACGTCACACAATGCATGAACTGGTCAGATGTATTTTCTCACGCCTACCCTCTCTCAAGATTGAAAAGCTAGCCAATGGAAGCTCAAGTGTTGGTACAGAGGTAATCTTTTCCAAGATGCCTTATTCTTTATATACTTATATTCTCAGTTATGAGGACTTATGGAAGTGATGTCCTTTGAATTCTAACACTATGATCATTTCTCAATACTTCATGTCGACTCCCGGTTAAACTGAGGAGACGATAAAAAGTGTCAGTCTGCAAGTCAGTTACATAGCTGTGAGCGATATTGAATTATGGACGTTAAGTTAGGATCTTGGATTGACACAACCAGATGTCTTCTTGGAGATGCCTTTGTTCTTAATGCCTATGACAACTCTTAGATCTGGTGCTATATTGACCTGAAGTTAACTGACTTAGTTGGGCTGTTAAGCTTAACGATTGAAATCTATGAATTTTGGTATATTTTTAATCAACTAACAAAGCTGGTAGCATAATTTGAGCTTTTCAGAAAGTACTTTCTGCAGGTAGTTCGGATTGAAAAACGCTTAAAAATTAAACTTCATGAGAACCCTATTTATATTGTTGAATGGTGATAAAATATTTTGTGCATGACCCTTATTTCACTGTCTGGTCATATCCACATATAGGTCTGTTCTTCCTTTTTTGACTGTATAGGGAATCCTTTTTGTGTAGGAACTGGAGGAGCATAGTTTTGGTCGTACACAAGCGGAAAATGGTGCTCTGCGGGGTGGAAATGATGGCCCTACTTCAACAAGTGACTCTTCAAGTGATCTCACAAGTGGATTAAGACATATGAAGGATGCGAAAGAGTTTGTTATTATTAGTGAGGCGGAAGCTGACAGTAACACTGAGAAAGATATGGCAGAGCCATTTGGAGCTGGATGCATGGTGGAGATATTTCACTTCCTATGTTCTCTTTTGAATGTTGTTGATCACATTGATATGGGTCCTAGATCAAATCCCGTTGCATATGATGAAGATGTCCCATTGTTTGCTTTGGGTCTGATCAACTCAGCTATTGAACTGGGGGGTCCCTCATTCAGAGACCACCCTGAATTGCTATCCTCGATTCAAGAAGATCTATTTTGCAATTTGATGCAGTATGGTTTGTCGATGAGCCCACTGATTCTTTCGACAGTATGTAGCATTGTTCTCAATCTTTATCATCATTTACGTGTGGAGCTGAAAGTACAGTTGGAAGCCTTCTTTTCATGTGTACTCTTGCGGGTTGCTCAGGGCAAGCATGGGTCTTCATATCAGTTACAGGAAGTTGCAATGGAAGCTCTGGTTGATCTGTGCAGGCAACCAACATTCATGACTGAAATGTTTGCTAATTTTGATTGTGACGTAGCCTGCAGCAATGTTTTTGAAGACATAGCTAACTTGTTGTCCAAGAGCTCTTTTCCAGTAAATGGTCCATTGTCTGCGATGCATGTTGTTGCATTAGATGGTATGACATCAATGATTCAGGGTATAGCTGATAGGTTGGGCAGTGATATGTCTGTATCTGAAGTGGCTGCTACAGAAGATGGCGAGGGATTCAAGGCATTTTGGACAATAGAATGCGAGAATTTCGTGGATCCTAAATTTTGGATTCCCTTTGTTCAGAAGATGAGGAACATTAAGCAAAGACTGATGGTTGGAGCCAATCATTTTAATCAAAATCCAAAGGAAGGTTTAGAGTTTCTCCAGCAATCACATCTTTTGCCTGATAAACTTGATCCCCAAAGTGTGGCATCTCTGTTTAGATATACTTCTTGCTTGGATAAGACACTTATTGGAGATTTTCTAGGGAATCATGATGAATTTTGTATTCATGTGCTTCATGAGTTTGCTAGAACCTTTGATTTTAAAGGGATGAATCTAGATACAGCATTGCGCCTCTTCCTGGGAACTTTCCGGTTGCCTGGGGAATCTCAAAAAATACAGAGGGTGCTAGAAGCGTTCGCTGAGAGATACTATGAACAGTCTCCTGATATATTAGCCAACAAGGATGCTGCTCTTTTGCTCTCTTATTCACTTATCATGTTGAATACTGATCAACACAACGTGCAGGTTAAGAAAAAAATGACAAAAGAAGACTTCATTCGCAATAATCGCCATATTAATGGCGGGAAAGACCTTCCCAGGGAGTACCTTCTAGAGCTTTATGGCTCAATTTGCGAGAATGAAATTCAGTTGATTCCTGAGCAAGTTGCTGGTTTTCCTTTGATGACTGCTGGGTGCTGGGTTAATGTAGTCCACAAATCTAAAATTGTCAACCCTTTTATCATCTGTGATTCTGGAACCCTCCTTGACCATGATATGTTTGCCATTTTGTCTCGCCCAACAGTTGCTGCTCTCTCTGTAGTTTTTGATCAGGCAGAGCAAGAACAGGTTTTGCAGATGTGTATCGATGGATTCCTGGCTATTGCTAAAATTTCTGCTCGTTATCATCTAGTTGAACTGCTTGATGATCTGATTGTGTCCCTCTGCAAGTTTACTGGCTTGTTAGCACCACCGTTCCTGGCAGATGAAGTTATTCTGGCCTTAGCAGAAGACACCAAAGCAAGGATGGCAATCACAACAATTTTCATTGTGGCCAACAGATACGGTGATTACATACGCATGGGGTGGAAAAACATTTTTGAGTCCGTCCTTATCCTTCACCAGCTTGGCCTTCTTCCAGCTGGACTTGCTAGTGATACAGCTGATGATACAGAGCCATCTAATGACTTGGAGAGGGTAAAATCCGCACCAAGTTCTTTGTCATCGCTCCGTCCACCATCTGGGATCACACCTCGGAAATCATCGGGTTTCATGGGCCGGTTCACCCAGCTGTTATCTTTTGATATAGAAGAGCCCAAGTCCTTACCAACCGAGGAGCAGCTTAGAGCTCATCGTCTCACTCGTGAAGCAATACAAAGTTGCCACATTGATATAATATTTATAGAGAGCAAATTTCTCCAAGCAGAGTCTTTACTCCATCTGGTGCAGTCAATTATCCTGGTAGCCAGTCGTCTCACCAAGGAAACCAGCTTCTCTTTGGAAGATGAAGTGGGTCCTGTGTTCTGTTTGGACCTGCTAATTGCAATTACACTGAACAACAGAGATAGAATCATGCTTATCTGGCAACTTGTATATGAACATATTGCAGCGATTGTTCAGTCAACCATAATGCCATGTACCCTTGTGGAGAAAGCTGTGTTTGGGCTGCTAAGGATATGCCAGCGGCTGTTACCCTACAAGGAAAACCTGACTGATGAGCTGCTGAAGTCTCTGCAGTTGATATTAAAACTTGATGCACGAGTTGCTGATGCTTATTGTGAGAACATAACAAACGAAGTTAAGCGCATGGTGAAGTCGAATGCAATTCATATCAGATCCCATCTTGGTTGGCGTACAATCACCTCCCTTCTATCCATTACTGCTAGACACCCTGAAGCATCTGAAGCAGGATTTGAGACGCTAGCCTTTATTATGTCAGATGGTTCACACCTTTTGCCATGTAACTATATTCTCTGTGTTGATGCAGCAAGACAATTTGCCGAGTCCCGGTTGGGCGATGATGCTCACAGGTCAATCTCTGCCCTAGATATGATGATGGGATCTGTTGTCTCTCTGGCGAGATGGTCTTCTGAAGCAAAGAATGCAGCAGTAGGGGAGGAAGCCGCTGTGAAGTTAAGAGAAGACATTGGTGAGATGTGGCTGAGAATGGTGCAAGCAGTCAGGAAACTGTGTTTGGACCCAAGGGAGGAAGTGAGGAACCATGCGCTTCTAATGTTGCAAGGGTCAGTGGCAGGAGTAGATGGAATTAACCAGTTCCCTATAGCCAAGTGGTTCCAGTTCTTTGATCTGGTGATCTTCACATTGCTCGATGAGTTACTGGAAATAGCACTGGAGAGCTCTCCTAAGGACTATAGGAAAATGGAGGAAACACTTGCGCTGGGCATGAAAGCAATGACAAAAGCATTTCTGCAGCAGTTGCAAGATCTGTCGCGGCAGCCTTCCTTTTGTAGATTGTGGTTAGGGGTTCTAAATCGGATGGAGAGATATTTGAAGGCGAAGTTCAGAGGGAAGCGAAGCGAGAAGATTCATGAATTAGTACCGGAGCTTCTTAAGAACATCTTGTTGGTGATGAAGACGACTGGCGTTCTCTTGGCTAGTAGTGATGACATTGCCGGGGATAGCTTTTGGCAGCTGACATGGTTGCATGTGAAGAATGTGTGTCCTTCACTGCATTCGGAATTATATCCCGACGACGAAATGCAAGCAAATCAGAATGTTTCCGAAGGGGGTCCAGCAGGAGATCAGGCTGTGATTGTTTAGTCAACGGCAGCCTTAACTTGAAGCTTAAACTCTTCTAGGAGTTCTGCTGCACAGGTTAAAACGGTCACCGCAATGTCGTAATTTTATGTGCATACCTTTGAAGAAATATACAATGCCTGAAATTCATCCATGATAGCTTCTTTCTTTTTCTTCTTACTGAGGGTCTCACCTCTTTCAGCCACCTTCAATTTTGTGGATTCATTTCCCCTCGGATCATTTATAAAACACGAAACTGTGAAGCTAGTTTACTGTTTGTTGTCCGCTCTTACTTTACATTCTAAGAGTTTCACCAGATGCTTCATTTTATTATTTACCGGGCAAACAATGTGTACATAAAACTAGACTAGCGTGAGCCCCGACCATTTGGCCGGAGGAAGGTGAGGTATGAAATTTGATAATGTAATGGGGTGTATAGCTTATTGTTGTATAGTTTTTTTTTTTGGAAACACGTGATAAAAATGAATTTTAGTAGGAAAGAGACATGAATGATGCAACGAATAAAAAATCAGCCTTATGAACCAAAATCAAGTACCTGTTATTTTGTGAAACAATATTGTTTCTGGTAATATGATGAGGTGGAGTAAGTTTTAAAGAAACGGAATTCCAGAAAATCGAATAAAAAATCGCATATCCCGCCGATTTTCGGGAAATGAGCATCTCACAATCGTTGCTAGCTCTTACTCGGCCCATTAGCCAATTAATTTGTTTTATAAAACTTTCATCTTGTCATCATTGTGCTTTCTGGTTTTTTGCCAAGCCATGATAAAATCTAAAGAAATCAAGAATGAACAACACGATTTGGGATAGGAATAGAAAATGGTGGTAAACACGGACTAACCTGCCAAACTGGTTTGGATTGAGATTTTTATTGGGTATCAAGGAACCATGTGATTATAAATTAGACTTGATCAAAACGGGCCAAAACTTGAAATTCAACATGTTTGACCGACCCATGCCAAACTCTAGTTATTCTTTACTTTTAAACTTTTATTTGAAAATAAAAAAATAATGAAAGAAAAGAGATGACTGCAATTCGTCATTTGCACATCACTGATTCGGGAATAAAACTATAGAATTTTGAAAGGAAACTGAAAATGTTTAGGATCGTTTTAATGTTAAAAGTAACCAAATAGATCTTTATGTTTAGTTTTTTACTAACAAATACCAAACGATTCCCTATAATATACACTATAATTTAATCATTATGATATCAAATAAATACATAATATATATTTGAAATGATAAAAATTGGACTAATTGGGTTGTTCGAAGTTGAACCATTAAATAACTTTAATATAGATTATATTTTAGCCACTAACATTTATAATAATATCATAATATATATTATGCTAGAGAAAATAGCTTATATTAGAATGGCAAATCCATGATGTTCGTTTGTTTTACTTGATGGGCAAATCCCGTGTAGGTCAGGCCCATTCAACTCTTTTATTTTATGATTAGCGGTTAGCCCATTAGAATCCATGCATTAGTTTATTGTTAAATTTTTTTTTTCTTTTTAGCAATAAAAAGGAGTATTGTTTTTGCCTTTTCATATATATTTTACCACCGCGGAGAAATAAAAGGACTTAAAGAAAAAAATTGACACTCCTGGACTCGTTTAAATCCGCATGTGTACGGTAAGTTGGCCCGTTCCACAGAGGAAAAAGAAAAAAATTGGCACTCCCTATTCTACCCTTCCTACACACGCTCCTGGAGCTGGGAATTTGAAATGGGGAAAGGGTTTTTTCCTCTCTGCGATTATATGTTTTTAATTTAAAAAGATACAACAAATGTACTTAAGTGTGATTGGTTATGATATTTGTTTTTCTTTAAAGTGGTCATGGTTCAAATCCTAATAAGTGTCTTTTTAATGAATAAAAAAAGTAATTGTGAAGACCAAAATGTCCTTCCTATTTTCACTCTGGATGCAGAAAATTTGAAATGGGCCTTCAAGTTTTCTCATTTGGCTTTTATTTATTATGTATATGAAAGAACTGCAGCATTATATGTCTGAAGAATTGGTTTATGTAAATAGATTTTCGTATGATTGACTGGGGTTTGCAGTTTTGTGCCCCTGGATTAGTTTGAACGTGAGAAGAAATCAGAGCCCGAAGCAGCAGCATTTCTGTGACGAAATGATACATTGGACCGGTAAAGGGAAACCCACCTATGTCAATGCAGCATTTTTTTAAAATACAAATTATTAATAAAATTTTTGAAATTTATTAATTAGACTCTAGGTCGTTTGGAGAATATGAGTTTAAATCTATAGATTGTCAACAATCTAAAGATTCTATCTCTTCGGATTGTTGAAAATAGATTTTAAATTGTTTATTGTTTGGTAACTGTGATTGTTAACATTTAATGAAAATAAAAAATTAATTTTATATTACTAAACTTGTTTATCCTTAATAAAAAAACTAGCGTGGGCCCGGCCATTTGGCCGGAGGAAGGTGATGTATGAAATTTGATAATGTAATGCGGTGTATAGTTTATTGTTGTATAGTTTTTTTTGGGAAACACGTGATAAAAATAGTGAATTTTAGTAGGAAAGAGACATGAATGATGCAACGAATCAAAAGTCAACCTTATGAACCAAAATCAAATACTGTTACCTTGTGAAACAATATTGTTTCTGGTAATATGATGAGGTGGAGTAAGTTTTATAGAAACCGAATTCCAGAAATTCGAATAAAAAATCGCCTATCCTGTCGGTTTTCGGGAAATGAGCATCTCACAATCGTTGCTAGCTTTTACTCGGCCCGTTGGCCGATTAATTTGCTTTATAAAACTTTCATCTTGTCATCATTGTGCTTTCTGGTTTTTTGTCAAACCATAATAAAATCTAAAGAAATCAAGAATGAACAACACGATTTGGGTTAGGAAACACCGTTCCTGTATCCCTAGAAAATTGTGGTAAACACGGACTCACCTGCCAAACTGGTTTGGATTGAGATTTTTATCAGGTATGAGGGAACCATGTGATTATAAATTAGACTTGATCAAAACGGGCCAAAACTTGAAATTCAGCTTGTTTGACCAACTCATGCCAAACTCTAATTATTCTTTACTTTTAAACTTTCTATTTGAAAATAAAAATAATGAAAGAAAAGAGATGACTGCAATTCGCCATTTGCACATCACTGATTCGGGAATAAATATAGAATTTCGAAAGGAAACTGAAAATGTTTAGGATCGTTTTAATGTTAAAAATAACCAAATAGATCTTTCTATTTAGTTTTTTTACTAACAAATTCCAAACGATTCCCTATAATATACACTATAATTTAATCATTATGATATCAAATAATTACATAATATATATTTGAAATGATAAAAATTGGACTAATTGGATTGGTCGAGGTTGAACCATTAAATAACTTTAAAATATATTATATTTTAGTCACTAAGATATAAAATAATAGCATAATATATATTATGCTAGAGAAAATAGCTTGTTTTAGAATGGCAAACCCATGATGTTCATCTGTTTAACTTGACGGACAAATCTCGTATAGGTCAGGCCCATTCAACTCTTTTATTTTATGATTAGTGGTTATCCCATTAGAATCCATGCATTAGTTTATTGTTAAATTTTTTTCTTTTTAGCAATAAAAAGGAGTATTGGTTTTGCCTTTTCATATATATTTTACCACCACGGAGAAAAAAAGGACTCAAAGAAAAAAATTGACACTCCTGGACCCGTTTAAATCCGCATGTGTACGGTAAGTTGGCCCGTTCCATAGAGGAAAAAGAAAAAAAAATGACACTCCCTATTCTACCCTTCCTACAAACGCTCCTGGAGCAGAGAATTTGAAATGGGGGAATGGTTTTTTTCTCTCTGCGATTATATGTTTTTAATTTAAAAAAAAAATACAACCATTGTACTTAGTGTGATTGATTATGATATTTGCTTTTCTTTAAAGTGGTCATGGTTCGAATCCTAGTAAGTGTCTTTTTAATGAATAAAAAAAAGTAATTGTGAAGACCAAAATGTCCTTCCTACTTTCACTCGGGATGCAGGAAATTTGAAATGGAGCTTCAAGTTTTCTCATTTGGCTTTTATTTATTGTGTAGATTAGAGTGGTTCGAGAAATATTAAAAACTTTATTGATAAATATATTTAATATGATAAATAAATAAAAGAAAGAGAAAAGGTAGGAGGAAAAAAAATCTCACGAATCAAGATATAGAATCTCTCTTATTATGAGAGATTTGATATCCGTAGCTTTTAGAGATTTGAAATCTCTATTTCTCAAATTCACAATACAAAAAGCAACAAAAAAAAAACATAACTTTCTACAAAATCTGCGGATTCAATGAATCCACGCCCTAAATTCCGTTATCCAAACGACCCCTTAAATGTTAACTTTTGTTAGCAGTTTGGTTAGTAATATTGATTTAACATGATATTCACTTGGAAGAGACATGTGGCTGTTAACATTTTCAAAATTTTAGTATTTTAACTAAGAAAAATTTAAAAAAAATTACTAATGATAACAAATAAATGACTAATATTTTATGTTTTTACAAAAGATTTGACTAATATTTTGTATTTCGAAAAGTTTGGCTAATAATTTGAAAAGTTTGAAAGGTTTGACTAATAAATTGTATTTACCAAATTTTAAAATGCAAGAAGGAGCCAAGAGAAACTCTGAAAATACCTTATTGATGTGATGTGAGAAGGCAACCTCGAGTTGGGTTGATTTAATTAATCTTTTGGTGATTGGTCAAATTGATTTGTGTAACCAGTCGTAACTGAATCAAATCGAACTAACGTCGCGGTTGAAATACAACAAGTTCAACTATCATGGGACGAATTGCCGCAATGGTGGGAGATTTTTAAATTAACCAATCATGCCCAGCGGCGGATCTAGGGCTGGGCCAACCCTCCGTCTGATCCATAGCTAGTATAGTGTTTACAAATTTTTCGATTTTAGGTAGTCGGCTCAGTACTATTTAAAATTCAGTCGAGTGTTATTTAATAATAGAATTTTGTGTAACTAGAAAAGCGGTCTAGATAAACATATGCAAACAACTATTCCCAATTTAGCATAGAAATTCTGGCCCGAATGATTTTCATTTGAAAAAAAAAACAATAAAACGTAAATGTCTAAAATGTAAAAGACCGTATAAAGTTTCATTGAAATAAGAAAATCCTCTAAACAAAGTGATTTTTTTATTCGTCTAGTGTTGACCTTGCCCGTTTATAGCGGCTACTATGGAGATAACATTTTAAGCAATGAAATATGTGAAAACTAATTTGCGCAACAAAATGCGCGATGAATTTTTCATTGATTGCATAGCTATTTTATTTGTGAGAGAGTATGCTATTGATATGGATGAAGATTATATTATTGATGAGATTTGCCAAATTAAAAAACCTTCTATTATAATTGGCATTGTAATTAATTAATGAAACTATAGTTATTATATATTTTTTGGTATATATAATTTATTAACCAAACCTTTCAGTCTTTTCAAATTATTAGACAAACCTTTCAAAATATAAAATATTAGCTAAATCTTTTGCAATACATCAAAATATTAGTCATTTGTTTGTTACCATTGGTAATTTTATAACTAATTTCTCATTTGAAATACTAAAATTTGGGAATGTTAACTATTTTTTTTACGACATCTAATATTATATTCAAATGTGGCCCAGTATTTTACTATGTTCTGGATCCGCCACTGATCATGCCTCCCTCCACATGCGCCCATTCATTTTCTATAAATATCAACAACCCCTCTTGTTTTAGATAGATAAATATATATATATATATATGAGCAGTTTCGAACAAGTTTTAGAGGAAACAAAACACCTTTTCCATCAAAAATTTTGTTATTTGTGTCTAGGGTGTTCAAATGGTGTGGTTATCGTGGTAATCGTTTTAATCGGTAGTATTTAGATAATTTAGTTTGGTTAATTTAGATAATAGGTTTGGTTTGGTTAACTTTTTTAGCTTGTTTGGTTTATGTGGTTTGGTTTCACACTGCTAACCAATCAAACCAAACTAACTAGTTAAGTAATTAATCATATATCTGATATATATCATATACATATACTTAATACTATGCATAGCCACTCAAGAGTCAAATGTAAGATAATTGTATTTGTTACATGTATTTATGTCAAGGGTTAGCTATAATTATGTGTTCATTGTTCTGTGTTCTGTGTTATTCATTATATGAATTGCGAATCGATGCACTAACTAGAAAATTTTCTCACTTAATGATAATGTGATGTTATATTGGTTATTTTGGTTAACCAATTAACCAAACCGATTAAACTTTAGTTTGGTTGTTGTATTAGTTTGGATGATTCATTGATTTGACTATGATATTGTATTTCATGGTTAATAGAATTTAGACTTATTTGGTTTGGTAATTTTCATTGTTAAAAAACATGGCATAATCTGGGGACCAAAAATGTAAATTCCATTATATTGTGGATTTCTCCAGAAAACATATATAGTTCAGGAGCCAAATAGTGAATTAACCCTAAAGAGGACACTTTCTAGAACCTATTCAGTTAAGTATTAACTATCCGTTTCCCGCCAAATCCAACGACCCCAACTGGAAAAGGAAATCGGGTTATAAAGCCGCCGGCTGCTCTGCATTTCTCTCCGTCCCCACCTCCTGCATTCTCCGACTCGTGCAAGTTGACTCGCTAAGATGGGATTGCCGGAAGAAACACGGAAGTCGGAGGCCATGATCGAGATCCTTCATCCTCCGCCACCGCCACTGCCGCTGCCGCCGCCGCCAGGCACCACTGTCCCCGCACCTTTTGACTTCGCAGCGCCCGCCGAAGACCTCGCATCGGAAGAGCCCACGACTCCCTTCTTCAGATCGCGTTCCCGCCACAGACGGAGCGACACATGGATCGTCTCCGCCTTCGTCATCTGCTACCTTGTGGTCTTCTTCGTCACAATGTTCGTCAACGACTGCCGGCGCAACTCCGCCGGCGATTGTGCTGCCAGATCCCTCTCCCGGTTGTCTTTTCAGCCTCTCTCCGAGAACCCCTTCCTCGGCCCCTCCTCGTCGACGTCAGTAACTCTTGGCTGTATAATCTGTTAAATTCTTGCTGAATTAGGGATTCTGTTCTGGTGATGGTTGCTGTTTGTTTGAATCTTCAATTTTTGGTATGATTTAGCTCTTTTCTGTGGATGAAACTGACCTAGCGAACCTATTTCAGTGGATTTCTGTTTTGGTTGAATGAATGCCCTGCCCGGAAATCAGCTGTAGAAATGTTGCTCACTAGGTGTTTGATAGTGTGCCGCTGTGAACCAATGGTGGAGAAATAATACTGTTCAATACTGATTTTGCTCTTACTTTCCATACACTGCTGAAATTCAACTTTTGCTCTTCCGTAATGCAGTCTAGACAAAATGGGTGCTCTACGGAAGACTCGATTGACGAACCATCAAACTTGGCGCATTCTATCATCTCCATGGCTACATGCTGGACTCATCCACCTAATCGTCAATCTAATTAGCATCATCTTCCTCGGGATTTTTCTAGAGCAAGAGTATGGAGCAGGTAATTCTCCAAACGCTTCTTCTTTTGCCTTTGCTGAACCGTACCCATTTTACAACATCTCTCTGGCTTTCCAATTCTACAATGATGCAGTGAGGACTGGATTGATATACATAGGCTCTGCTGTTCTGGGGACTTTAGTGGGTGCCCTTTTCGTTCAAGATAAACCCGCAGTCACTTCCTCCAGTGCTTTACACGGCCTGCTTGGAGCCACAATATCTGCACTCGCAAAGAACTGGAAGTTCTACACCAGTAAGGTCGTTAGTAGTTATAGGCACCTTCTCTCTTATCTCCTCCTCCATGGTTTTGTTCTTACCCTCAAATCTAACGATCTTTCTGATTTCGGTGATCGATTTGCAGGGCAAGGCTATGGTAGCTCTCGCTTTCATTTTGGCCTGTAATTTCGTGCTGGGCTTGCTGCCTTATGTCTGCAACTACTCCAACATGGGAGGGTTGGTGTCGGGTTTGCTCCTTGGATATGCACTTCTGATGCCACCACAGCTTGGAAAGAAACCCCAGAGATTGTCAGAAGCTTGTGACTACGGTTCCAAAGGCTCTTTCAACTTGAAGGAGAAGGTGGTGAAGGTGGAAAAACCAGGGCTGAGAAGTGTCTCTCTCATCATTTTCGCTCTACTGTGAGTTCTTTCCCTTCTCTCTTGAGATAATTATATCTGATTGAAAAGTGTTAGTTTGCAATTTAACTGAGAATGGGAGGTCGTGTGTTTGTCAATATATATGGAGGGCAGGCTTGCAGGGTGTTTTGGAGCGGCGGTTCAAGGGATCAACCTAGGCTCCTACTGCGGGTGGTGTAGTTACATCGACTGCATTCCTTCCCGGAGTTGGAGTTGCAACGACTTGACAACTGCTTGTGAGGTAATTAATCAGATTCAATTACTCGGTAATTATGACCTTAATTACCACCATTGTTTTCAAGTTAACCTCGTTTGATAACAGGCTATGCCAAGCAACAATGGAGAATTGACTCTGACATGCATGACAAACGGGAACTTCAGGATTTTCCCTTTCACAAACATCTCCCGGGCAAGAGCTCAAGATTTGTGCACACTGATTTGCTCCCATGAAGGATGATAGAGCACTCTCAAAAGTATGATTTGCTTCCAGAATTGAGTCATTCTACTCTCTACCAACAACACTAAAAATGGTATTTCTTTTTCCCTCCTTTTCTTTCTTCTAAATTTCTTTTCCTTTTGAGCAAAAAATTGACAAAAGAACACGAGAAAGAAGCTGGCTTTTCCTTGTAGAATGAAAAAAAAAAATTATATAAGAGACAAAGTATCCCCAAAGCCAAAAGATGTAATCCTTTCCGGCCCAACCCACGGCGGCCTATTCACCCGCCGGCCATTCCTTTACCGGTTTCCTTTCTTTCTTCCCCCAAAAAATCCAACTGTGTGTGAGATTTACGAGGGAGAGACTACTGACAAGTGTAGACCGTAATAACTTGATGAAAAAATTTGCCTCCTAGACAACAGCAGCAGCAGCAGCAGCAAGCGAAGAAGAGAACCAGAGGCAACTACTCTCTTTTCTTTATTGCACTATTTGCAAAACGGCAACCCACCCTTTTCCTTCCCCCCTGCCTATAGTAACAACATCAGCTTTCTTCCCAACACCGGAAAATAAAAAGAGGAACCTAAAAAAAAAACAATGAAAAGAACCGAAAAACAGGAACTACTACCCATCTGTGATCTGTCTGCCCATCAAAAATTGCCAGTCCTGTTATCTCTCATCTTCCATCTCCAAATATAGTGACAAAAATCTTCAATCTTCAGAACCAGAGCCGGAAGAGTTCAACCAAGATGAAGTTCCCTCCACAGAATCAACCAACTTCTGCTACTGCAATTGCCCATTCACTTTCGACGATGGCTTCAGTTTCATGTACTGTCAAAGGTGAAACCACAACAACCCATGTCAGTTACAGGCCCTTCCGAAACAACGTGAACTACTACCGCGCGACCCAGCTAGCTACAAAAGTGTGCAAAGTTTTTTTTTTTTTTTCTGGTTTACCTCCTGATAGAAAGCGTTGATCTCCTCCTCGGTAAGGCCTTCATCTTCTCCGGAAGTTTCTTCCCAACCAAGGGACCGAAGGAATGCAGCCTCTTCCTCGGAAAATCTCTGAACTTCCTCGGAGGGTTCAGTACTACCACCATTGCTACTACTTAACCGACCGCCGTGAGCTTGAGAGCTTTCCAGATCACCAGCCGGTTCTTTACTCAGCGCCACATTTGATTTCTCCTCCCCACCAGCAGACGAAACTACACCAGTTGATGAATCCGTCACCACCATAGAAGCATTCCCAGAGGTTTTCTTCTTCAACAAGTTAAAGAAATCATTCCTACTCTGGGCCTGCGACAAGGAAGGCTTCTTCTCGATACTAAACCCTGGGATCATCGCATTCGACTTGCGCTCCCCCCCAGAGAAAATCTTTGGAGGGTTAATTGGGCTCCTTGGAGCTACAGATGCAACAACTGAAGTAGCAGCAGCAGCCGCAGCTTGTTGAGCATTTAACACTCTGCCTGCTGTACTATTTGTCGGACTAGCAACATCCTTAGGAGAAGCGGATACCCCATTTTCTCTCCCTGGTTTGAGTATGAAAAGTTTCCCATGAGTTGTCTTTGGTGCCTCCGACTTCCCACCAATAAGAGATTGATTGGTGGGATGAAGAAATGAAGGAGGTTGCTGCTGCAAATTCTTGACCATATTCATCTCCCCAGATCTCACACCACCTTTGGGTTTTAATTTGTCAGAGGCATTTAGAACCTGGCAAAAATGGCATTCATCAAATGACCATCTCAGCATAAACCCATATTAAAACACATCCCCACTCCCAGCCAAGTGCATTAAACAATGTTGGGGCAACAGTAAGCTCACCAACACATCCGCAGCGCAGAAAGAATTAGGTGATTGCAGGCAGAGATGCTCTGTAATAGGTTACCTTTCATTTGGAGGGAAAATACTATTTTTATTATATTTGTTCCCCTTCCTAATAATCTGCCCTTTCTTTTCAAGGATGCAAACCTAGGGTTCATGAACTTAACTAACGAGAGCACACAAAGCTTCAAACGTGAAAAATGCATGCAAGTTTCGCTCATTATCACGCCTCTTAACAAAGAAATGTTGCGTGCTGAAAATGTTGGCAATGGTTAAATCATGAACATTCACGCTGTTCATGGCAGGATTATTTCTATTTAATGATCAGAAAAACCACATTCTTACACCTGAAGCATACTAGCATGTAAGAACCAAAGAGAGTCTACGACCTGAGAATAATTCCCAAATCTGCCAATGCAGAGAACATTATTTCCCAACTTTCATGCTATTACTACATAGAGACATCAATGAGTTGGCCAGTTGACAACTGACATCGTAAATACAATTTCATGTGGATGCAAGAGGTTCACATTTCACAACAGAAATCAAACTGAATTAAAAACCTCCATACCACAAAACAAATGCTGAGACATTCAGGCCGAATCAGTTTCACTCTATCATCTGCCAAGGTCGGGGAAACCAAATTGTTCTCAAGCCTACAAGCAAGGGAAGAATGGCATGCATGGGAAGGGGAGGGGCAATCTTACTTTGATTTCAATGTGGAAAAAAAAAATCTAACAAAATTGTATTTCTGCCATCGCCTACGCATGAAACAGTAGATGCCTAACAATGAGGAACAATGCATAGAATGCAGAAAGATCAGCAATCTCTTCACATAACACTCAGGAAGCCTATATATCAGGAAAGACATGATCCATCCATTATCAGACGAACACTCCAATGAGGATTCATTCATTATATCCTAATAGTTAAAGACAAAACTAATGATTCGTGTACATTGGTCACTGCCCATATAGGATGGCACAAAGTTAAAAATGCAGCCAGCACCACTACACTGTGCATAAAAGGCGCAAAACCATCAGATAGGTCTTTCTATAATTGATAGGTTACTTCCAGGTAGACAATTATTAAACCCCCTACATACCGGCAGACTTACCTCACAATCAGTGCCCAACCTACCCACAACTCCAGATCTTATATTCTTCATGCTTAAGAGGATCATCTTGGCATAGATATTTGAAGATTAAACCAAAGTAACCCAACCATCGTTTTTATACCACGCCAACAAACCATTCGCAACCAACTCATACAGTAATAGCAAGAAATTTATTATTAAAAAAAAAGTACTCACCGAACTCTTAGGCAGGGAAGGTGTCACCGGTATCAATTGCCTCGACTGCTTAATAGCCAATTCCTCAAGCCTTTGTGTCTGGACAGATAACTGTACATTTATCATCACTCATAAGTTATTATCACTCGCAATCTTAAAAAAACAATCCAAGACAAACACCAAAGTTGGTTATTTTACCTGTGGAGTCGTACGAGCTCTTGAAGGAGCCTGAGTCAACGCTTCAGCCATATTAAGACCAGCCATGGCAGTTGGAGCAGCAGATCCAGATGAAGTAATTACTTGAGCAGTAGGTGCAGACCCTGTGCTAACGGTTCCAACAACGGGAGGTGCTTCTGCAAGAGCAGATGTCCACCCTTCACCACTAATCAAAGCAGAAATCCCAACCGACAAGCTCTGAACACCATTGCTCAAACCAGGAGATGAGACTCTGACTACATCAGGCACAACAGGTCTCTCTTCAGTTCCAAGTGAGGGAAAGTCCTTCTCAAAGGTAGTCTTCTGGGCAGTACTTCCCAAAACACTATCAGATATCAAGCCGTTGCCATTTACATGATTGCTGCTGCTACTTCTATTCTTCAAGTCTGATGCAACCCTACGGGATAACACATCGCTCTGTTTCCTGGTTACCATAGAGTGAGACCGCCGTAATGTATCCTTCTCATTCCTAATAGTTAATAAGCTTCCCAAAGAATCAGACGGATCACGATCCCAATGGTCAGTAAAGCTCAACCTATCTTTGTCCCTATCTCGTTCCTTGTCACGATGGTTTCTACTAAAACTACTGTATGCATGCTTCCCAGACCCATTACTGGAACTCCTTCTAGAATTGGATGAAGATGTTCGATCCAAAAATGCCAGACGAGGGGAATCAAAATCACTTGTACTCTTAGAGTTCCGAGTCCTCGAATGATTTGAGGATGAAGAGATATCTATATGACAATAGCATAACTCAAATTAGACAAACACAACCCATAATAATATGCAAACTGGAAATGTAGAAATATAATCTATTATTTACCAGAATGCGAAGAAGAAGATGCAAAGTGGTGGGCAGAACTGCCACCTCCAGATACACTTCCAGTAGTTCTCAACCATTCTGGGACTAATGTGGGTTCACTTCTTTCCATAAGGATAAGCACTTAACATTATCAGAAACTAAAGCGAAAGAAAATGTTTTCTTCAACTTCAAGCACCCCTCTCAAACCAGAGGCTTATCCTGCTGCGCAAAGTAATGGTTTGCCAAACTTCACCCTTGTTGCTCTTCCGCAACAAACAACCTTTGCGCTCAGGCACTAAACCAGACCAGAGCAAAGACTTAAAAGACTTTGGTGTGCTTCCTTAACGTTTTTTTGAGATTGTATCTTTCAAATTGCTCGATACGATTAACCCGCGGATGTCTGAAAAGCAAAAATTTCTCAAAGCAGCTGCGAACCCAGAGCGCAATAATAAAGGCAGTGGCAAAACCGAGCTTGCAACACAGCAGAATTGAAGTGGAAACGTAACCCGTCTCTCTCTTCCCACCACCACCTTCCCTACGCCACCATCCTCAATCAAGAAGATGGATTGGCACACACCAGCAGGAAACCACTCAACAGGACACCATGTCCAACAACAGGGAGGCAGAAGGAGAATCTACACCATCAACGAAAGAATACCACGATTCTCGAACGAGGGTTCAACACCATAAATCAGTACTATCATTTGAATGAAAACCTAACCCAAGGGAACGACCACTGAAACTAATCAGTGCGAAGAGAAAGACTCTTGCAGAAACAATACCCCCAATCCACCGAAAGCAGAGCCCCTAGCAGTCCACCACACTGCCAATACAACCCTCCCTCAAGTCCTACGTGTAACTGCAATGTTCTAGGGTTTGAAGGCGGACAACAGGAAATTGTATGCGATGCACCAAAATAGGCGGAGATTATATTTTGGGCCACAGAGAAGGAAGGGAAGCGAACTAACCCTAGCACCGGCTACGATTGCAGGCTTAAACAGCTCCACCGCAGACGGAGTGAAAGACCATTCGTTGCCAAACAGCCTTTCGTGGAGTCTGTTATCACTTTTCTCAATCCCGCCCTACCCAAAACAATGGCGCTTCCCAGAGAGAAGAAGAACAAAATTGGAAAGGCACAGACGATAGGTAATAGTCGGGGGAAACCACGGAAGGAAGTGGGCGAAGGCGAAAATCAGAAAGAAAGCGAAAGGGGAAAGGGATTGTGGGAAAAAAATTGTTGTATAGCTCCTCTTCAGGCCTTTTGCCTCTTAGTTTTTTTTCTTTTTTTCCCTCCCCAAATATTATGTGCTGAACCTGAATATCTTGAGAAAGAGGTGAAATTAGGGTTTTGGACTGGTTATGAGATAGACGACGGGGAGAGAGAGAGAGAGAGAGAGGTAGCTAGCGCCTAGCGGGGATAGGAAGAGACTCGGAGGACACGAGAGGCGTAATTCTTGTTGATTTCGGATACTGTAAAAGAAAAACAGAAACGAAGAGAGGAAAATAAAATGTGATTCAACAAAAATAAAATGTGAAAAGTAACAACAAATAAGTTTTCAGTCTCCTCCTAACTAATGAGAAATTAGCCTCAAATGTGACATAGACTAGAGATGAAATTTTTAATTGGCTTTTGTTATGTGAAGTGACAGGTTTTGTGTTCGATTCTATCGAGGCTACTATGGTGTTTTCGGAGATATTTAATAGCGATCTTTGTAGAGGGTTCAAAGGACTCAAGCAGGTGAACCCTCGAATTTGGTCTCGCTCCGCCGTTACTTAAGCGGTGTATGGAGATATTATTGAGTAATTAAAAAAAACCTAATGAGAAATTATTCAAGTAAAACCGAGTATCAAACAACCGAAATTCATATCTATCAACTTTACTCGCTTTCATCTGAGTTTTTATTTCACAATGTCACTGTTTTCATTTATACATATTAAGAAACAATATTTTCTTAACATATTTGTAGTCCAACGATTTATTTTCTCATGTTTTCTTTCGAGAGTTGCCACTAGCTCTTCTTGATGAACGAAGGTAGCCTAGATTTTCTTGTGCTTCTTGCACTTCCCCTTTCCCCACCTCCTGTTTTCTCCCTTTTCACTGCTTTGTCCTCTATAGTTAGTCTTTTCCAGCCCTCTGTGGCCTTTTCTTATTCTGGAAGTGGAGTTTTCCACAAATTTTCTTGTAGAGATGGGTTTTATTTTATTCTAATTTGTTCTCTTCGGTTCTATGCTTTCTTTGCTTGGATCTGGATTCTGCAGTCTAGGGAGACTTTTTTAGAGTTCCGGCCGGGGGAATGGTTTTGCTTCTTTCTTAGGGCTCGTTTGGAGAACGGGATTTAGGTCGTGGATTCATTGAATCCGTAGATTCTGTAGAAAGTTATGTTTTTTTGTTGCTTTTTGTATTGTGGATTTTAGCTTTAGAGATTTCAAATCTCTAAAATCTATGGATATCAAATCTCTCATAATCAGAGAGATTCTATATCTTGATTCTTGAGATTTTTTTTCCTCCTACCTTTTCTCTTTCTTTTATTTATTTATCATATTAAATATATTTACTAACAAAGTTTATAATATTTCTCGAACCACTCTAATTTTTTATTAAAGATAAACACGTTATTTAATATAAAAATAATTTTTTTATTTTCATTGAATGTTAACAATCACAGTTACCAAACAATAAACATTTTAAAATCTATTTTCAACAATCCGAAGAGTTAGAATCTTTAGATTGTTGAAAATCTATAGATTTAAATTCATATTCTCCAAACGACCCCTTAGTGGTGACTTCCTCTTCTTCGATGATTTCGTTCAACGTTTCCTCCACCAACTAGAGTTGTATGCCTATTTATTTTTGGGGCTTTATTCACTCGGCGTGTGGCTTGTACATGGTCGTGCTGGATATTTTTTCGTTTGGGCTTTTTATGATATTTAAATTTTTGTTTGGGCTATGGTTTCTTTTGCTTTCTTGGGTTGTGTTGTTTCTTTGCATATTTTTTCATAGTGATGTTGGTTTTATTTTGATTAGGCTTTCTGTGTGGTATTTCCGCTTCAGCTTGGAGCTTTGGCTATGTTTTTTTTTTTAGTTTTAGTTTTTGGTTGTGTTGTTTCGTTGCAGACTTCTATCTGGTGGTGTTGGTTTTATTTCGATTGGACTTTTTATTTCGATTTTATGCTTGGGATATTGGCTTTGATTTCTTTATGATGTGGGCTTTGTTTTCTTTCTTCATGTGACTTTTTTTTTTTGCTTTGCTTATAAATTTTTGGGCTTTTCGTGTTTAGCTTTCAACACGGAGGTACTCTTCTGCTCTCTTTCGTCCATGTGCTTTTAGTTTCCAGTTTCCTTGCCTTTGTTCATATTTGAGTAGTTCGGTTATTGTCCTCTCCACCTCAACTAATCCTCGAGATTTATTGCGATGGTATCGTCTTTGAACGACCCCCCAGGAGGTGGCTATATGGTATTGTGTATTCAACTGCCATTGCCAAACCCCATATTAAGCGAGCCGATTACCTACTTTGTGATACTTTGATTGGTGCAGTTGTGTGGTCGTGGTTGGACTTGTTGTGGTTGGCTCCACTAATGGACTCCTTTGTTGGGTTGGACCTTCTGTGTTAGGCTTATAAGGTCATTTCTCTCTAACATGGAATGCCTGCCAAATAATCGGGATTTTCATTCTCATTTTGTTTAATATTTCATTGTATTTTTAAATTCATGTTAACATATTTTTAGAGTAATATAAGCCATCCCTGGCAAAAAGAAAAACGAAAGACAAAAGCCAATACGTTAAGTGGTTCACATGAAAATCACTTAGCCATAAGTCAGGGCTCAAGATCCACTAGCAATAGTATTAGGGGTGGCTATTTGGTCCTGAATTTTTGGTTAAACCAGAAACAAAATGGTTTAAGTCGATCAGTTGTAACCAAAAACCAGATTGACAATCATACAATCCAATTGATGGTTAGGAGGTTGGGCTTCAAAATCGGTATGATCTGGTTTAAATCTGGAAAACTGGATGCTCCAGGCCCATGACCACTGCCCTGCTAGCCCACAAACCTGCCAGTCCACAACCCCATCCTACCTAACAAATTCTAATTCTAATAAGGGGTGACGAATTCTGCCTCTCGACTCTCCATGTCCCTTACAATAGCAGCCGCAACACAACTCTAATCCCTCCCTTCCATAGTTCTCAATCCCCAGCTATGAACTTGGTTAAAGACGAATGATGATGACTCTAGTTCCAGACTTCCAGCTCTCACCAGGTCTTCCCATCTTGCCTCGCCAGTCGCATTGGCCATGACCACCAACCAGTTGTCCACGAATGATAACAAAGATCACCATTAACCAAGGTTGTCGCGAGATAACTGGGTAAGTCTCGCCACTCCACTTCCCACCTCCATACCTCTTTGGCTGAGAGCATTGCTCAACCTCTGCCAACTGCCACTAGCCACTTTGCCACATAGAGTAGCTTCTCAACCTTAGGTCTCGGTCCATTCCTCCTTCCGACTCCCTCACCAATCGACGACATCCACCTCTCTATGTGCCTCTTCGTCTTTGTTCTGACGACATAGTATTTAGATCTCAGTTCCCTCCAATGACCAGCCCACCACTAGTAGAGAAGAGTCAGTTGATGGTCTTCTTCGTCATCGTTATTCGTCGCCTCTGAGATTATTCTGATTAGAGTAGAAAATTTGGAAAGGATTAGGGGTAGACATATTCAATTGGAGCCGAATTAGGGATCTTGTGAGTTTGAAATTGAATTGGAGGAGATGTCGATGGGGTTTTATGTGTTTTTTTTTAATAAAATAGAAGCTTAAACTGTGTCATGTTTGTGGGGATGTGAGTGATTCCAATATTTGGTTTAAAACCGGATCGAGACTGGAACTGTATGGTCCGGTCATAGTTGAAATCAAATTCAATCCAATTTACAGTTAGAGTATTGATATAAACTCGATCCCTGTTAACCAAGTAAATCTGGTCAATTTGACCGGTTTGGACCGTTTTCCACCCTAAATGGTACTACTGGGCTATTAGATAGCTGGCAAAAAAGGAAGAGTTGGAGAATCAGAGTAATAAACAACAACTCAATATGGAGTAAGGTTGTTAACCCGCAGGTTGACCTGGGCCCGGTGACAAAATGGGTGCTACCCACCCGTTTTAAGAATTAACTCGGATTCGTCAAACCCGTATAGACTCGGTCAAAATTTGGCAAACCCAGATGAGTTAATCGGATGCACGGTTCACGGGCGGAAAAATCAAGAAAAACCTACCCATATAAGACGTCGTAGAGAGGGAAAGATCCGGAGAGAAGGAAGTGGAGGAAGAAACGGTGGTGCTAGGAGGCAATCCCACCCGTCATACGTCGCCTCATCGGTGGTGTATAACAGGATCGCTTCCTATTTCTGGACGTCACACAAGATTTTGTCTGGCACCAGTGGTACGACGAAGAGGAAAGGGGGTGAATTTGTTGATAGTTGTCTTGATGGAAGCTATGGCGGTGGAGTGGTGGAATAAAAAAAGAAGCGACCATCAGAAAGAAGAAAGGAGTGATGAAAGAAGGTGGGAGGATGGCGGCCATCGACATAAGCGGGGAAGAAAAATAAATTGTCGCCAGTGGTGTGGACTGTGGAGGAAGATTAGGGTCTCTTAGGTATTAATATATATTAACGATAAAATACTATAAGGTACTTGAAATTAAAGTTGACAATTGGTAATTCAGTTAACGGTATAATCGGTTACCGAACGGTTACTAGCGGTAACCGGTTATATCGTTAGCCAACGGTACCGGTATATGGTGGGTACAATTGACCAAATGGTATACCGACTTCAAGCCAGTTACCAGACATACCGACCACCTCCTCTGTCTCTCGATCACCACAGCCCACATCTCTCTCAAACCGCCACCCAATCCCCAACTGTTGCAATTTGACGGCGCAAGACCCCCAACCGGGGAGAAGTAATTCTCCGACCAGGGAATGGGGGAGTGGACCGGGGATCACTAGCAGAAGTACCCTCGGGTTGTGGATTAAAATCACTGATTGGGAATTTGCAGGGTCCGACCGTGGATCGGGTCTCGGTGACAAGATTTTGAGTTTTTAAGTTATTGTTGTTATTTTTAATTGTCCAAACCTATACAAAGCTGAAACTCCGGGTTTAGGGTTAGCTTTTTTTTTGCAGAATATTGATTTTTTACTTGGTTTTGAGCTTTAGACTTGAACTTTTCTCTGTATTAATCAAGTTTTCCCCTTGATTAGGGTCGAGATTCTAGCTATTATATTGATAGAGCCTTCTCCCGATTTCGCATTGAGATTGCACTTTAAATTCCATCCTATCCCAAAGAAACAAAAAAACATAAAAATCTATTTTTCTGTTCGTCTTGAAGCTGTGCGACTTTGATAACTATGGGTACAAGATCTATGCTCGTATTAGGTGTTATTAGAGTCTGGTTCATCACAGTGGCGAGATCAACGGTGAGAAGAATTGTTTCTTCTCGTACGAGGTTCAAAGATCCCATAGCACACCACATCTCAGAAGGAGTCGTCGTCCCAGGAATACATCCCATTTGAAGAACCTACAATGGCCGAACATCAGTTTAATATGTCAAAACTGTTGCAGACCATCATGGCGCAATTGAACGCAACCTTCCAAGTTCAATTCGACCAGATTAACAAGTGGTTGGATACTCTAGCACCGGCAAACAATGCTGCCCCACTGGGAGCTGTAGCAGGACTCCATCCAATTCTGGAGGGAGATCGACAACATGAAGTTTTGACTGGAACTGACCAAGCCCCAGATTAAAGACTTTGCAACATGGAGCAGAGAATGATCACAATAGAGCCTAATCAAGTGTGTGAAGAACAAGAAGTTCGTGATTATGGTGTAAGACCACCAGAGGCAGGACGCGAAGGTGCCATTGCTGAATTACACGGAATCAAGCTGCCAATCCCTTTGTTACAATGATCTCTCAATGCTTCTGCATACTTGGATTCGGAAAGGAAGATCATCATGTTCTTCCAATGTGGCAACTACAAGGAGCAACAAAAGGCATCACTAGCCACTTATGTATTCACTCACTATGCAATCATATGGTGGGAGCTGGTACAACTCAAGAGAAGAAGGAATTTGCAGCCGAATGTGACAACTTGGGCTGAATTGAGAGAGCTCATGAGAGAGAAGTTCGTGCCAGGGTACTTCCAAAAAGAACTCTTTGATTCCTTGCAGGGAATTCAGTAGGGAGTACGATCTGTTAAGGAGTATTTTCGGAAGCTTGAACTTGCTGTTGATGATGGCAGATGTGAGGGAGTTGATGAATAAGAATTTTACACCGAGTTGTGTTTCTTTTCCATGAATCCGCGTGCTTATGGTTTATTGGTTTAGCTATTGGTGGATTCCATAGCAAGAGCAAGATTCTTATTTGAGTTTTTATGTTGAAGATTCCAGAAGAGTCTGGCAAGACTCTTATCAATCAAGCGATCATACTTGATTGTGGCGAGTATCTATCTCCACGTATCTTTGTATTTTCATAGTTATTAGAAGGTCGATTCGAGCTATCCAAGTTTGAGTTGAAACTGCGCGACTTTGACAAAAAGAATCTAAACTTTCACGAGCCCAAAATCTTATCGAGAAAATTATAAGGAGCCTGAGAGGTGGCTGGCGCGGTTAAAAAATAAAAACGAAAAGAAAATGTGCCGCCAGTCCGCCACCCAGGTAGAAGAAACCAAGCACAAGCCTTCAACCCACCTCGCTCCTCTGCCCGCCACGTGGCACCGCGTTTTCTATCTCTATCTCGACGGCGTTTACCAGTCTGTCTCTCTTTCTCTCAAGCTCACATTTCATTTCCATTCCCGGCCCCTTTACCACGATTCCCTTCGTCTTCTTTGGTCAGCCATTTTTTTTACCCAGATATTGATTCACCGCACAACCTTCTTCATCCCAACAAGAATTTCTCGGCCAATTGACGGCAAAGGAAAAGGGCAATCGCTGCGTAGTTGTTTCTCTGGTCGGAATTCTTCACGGAGCTTTCTTCATCTGCCTTTGGTGGTGGTGTTTGGTGCTTGAAAAGGGTTATTATTTAGGGTTTAGATGGATTTGGCTCTCGATGCATCACTTGCCTCGATTCTTCTCTCCTAACAAGAGCACCAGCCCCATGGATCCCAAGAAACGGAGGAGACCCAAGCTGGAGCGCCGTAATGCCGCCAAGAATATTGACTACGACGCCACTTCCTTTACTTCTTCTCTGGACGACGACTCGTCGTCCCTAGTCACGCGCTCGCTTGATTTGCAGGATCGGACCAGTTTCCGGATTGAAGGGACCGATGGCGAGTTCGACCGGATTTGTCGAAGCCTTGGCCTCACTGGGCCCGAAGATTTTGCTATTCCAGCCGCTGCTTGGGAGGCCATGAAGTTGAGGTCCGCCTCCGACCTTCTGCCCCGGTCTAGATTTCACGAGAACGACGGCTCTAAGGTTGATGATATTGCTAATGGGACGGAGCAGCCGGATGTGAGCGCGCTATGCGTTGGCCTCTCAGATAGGGTTACAATTACGGACGGTGCCTCTGGCTTTGCTAGGGAAGACCCAGCGGAATCAGCCGAGTTGAACGGGTATTGCAGCCCTACCAGTGGAGTAGTGGGAGGAATCAAGGGCGTTCGTCCGCCTCTTCTGAAGCCGCCGCCGGCAATGACCTTACCACCTATAACCGCTATGGGATCAGCGTGGGATATGTTGAGGGATTTCGGCCCGGAAAATGGGAGACCGCTGTTGCCAGCAGTTGACAGAGACTTCACTTCCGACGACGAGGAAAGGGACGAAGTAGAGGAAGGTATGGGCTCGTCCAGGGAACGGAAGGGAGGAGAAGGAGTGAGTTTGTTTAGAATTGGGGAAACTGCTGTCTTGTCCGAGTCTTGCTCGTTTACCACCTCAAACGATGACGATTCTTCGAGCTCTACCACGGAACCAATGTCAAATATCTCCCCCAACGGGAGATTCAGAAGGATTATCTCCGACTGGATAAAAGGAGAGCTTCTGGGGCGTGGATCGTTTGGGTCGGTGTATGAGGGAATGTCTCAGTAAGTTCCAGTTCATCGTCGTGAATGAGTCAGTTGTTCTGTTTTGTCATGAATTGAGTTAGGTAGGATGGTCGACTTTGGAGGAGATCTAGTACGATAATTGATAAAATCAACGATTAAGGGATACTCTTTTAGCTTCAAAAGTTACAGCCTTTCTGCTGGATTGCGTCTTAAGGAATTATGAGTCGGCACTATGGTAGTTAATGTTAGCAGCTACATTGAATGATAACTTGTGCATTTTCCTTTGCAGGTCGACTTCTACATGTTGTTATGTATGCATTTAGTGTGGTAGTTGGGCTTATTCTATATGTTAGTTGAAAGTAATCTCTATGTTTGAAGTAGCCCAGCCTTGAGAAGCTCTATGCATGAATAATGCTTATATGGTAGTTGGGATTATTGATGGTACCTTTATGTTCCACTATGTGATTGTTTTGGTATGCTTGATCTCTTTAGCAGTGATCTTTCTACCCTTCATCGAATGAATCACAGCAGTTGTGATAGTTTATGATTTTGACATTTGAAGTGCTTGATTTTAAGAGTGCATTCCCTCTCTCTCTCTCTGTTTCGTTGCTCCCTGTTATAAAGTAGGTTGTGTCTTACCACAATGTAGTCTCGGCTTATTCCTCAGAAATTATCCCGTATCGGCATTTTCTTGCACCCGTCTGTTCGGCTTATTTCTATAATTTTTATATATAGAGTCACAGTTAGGTTTGGCTGTTGGAAGTAGCTTTGTGGCTGGTTTTGACTATTGTTTTGTCAACTTTCTATCTTATTATATGGCCAGGTTAACCAAATAACTAGTGTACAAAAGTTAGTACCGGGATCCCATTTTTGAAATAACTCCAAGTATTCTTGGACTGGTGCATGTCGTGATTTACCTTTCGTGTCATGTTGAAATTCGAAGTTCCCTATTGACGTATATCATGTTTCTGGGTTTGCCTGCTCTGTAAGAAGCTTGCTAGTTATATATAATCCTACCAATTATTGCTGCACCATTTAGTTGGGAAGTGGAAAGAATGCTACTGGTGTGTGAATATTCCCTAATGGTGGGTTTTTGTTGCAGTGATGGGTTCTTTTTTGCTATAAAAGAGGTTTCTTTGCTTGACCAAGGCAGTCAGGGAAGGCAAAGCATATATCAACTTGAGCAGGTAATAGGATGCGGCTTACTACTTTCTTTGGCTTTGGCTTTTGTTTTTTTTTGTTGTTGTTGCATTCATATCTCACAAATTGTCTAGTTCTGATCTTGTTTCCCCAATATGCAGGAGATTGCTCTTTTAAGTCAGTTTGAGCATGAGAACATTGTTCAGTACTATGGCACAGACAAGGTAACTATGCTTAAGTTCATACTGATCCACTGTAACAAAGTGCTCTAAGTGCAAGTAGTGGATTTTAAACTATGCATAGTTTGATGTGCAAACACTTTGCGGATGTATTTAGTTTTCATTGGGTATTTCTTTGAATCTTGCTGACTAGTATGATTTTTGTGAAGGTTATCAATTGATAGGAAAACTAACACCTAGTTTCAGAGCTGCCTAATTGAAAAAATACTCCAACCTATGAGTTTGTTTTAACAAAAGTTAGGATTGAAATCTAAAAGCATGCTGTTTTCTTCTCAACATCCAGGGGATAAGGGGATGGATGATTGGATTAATGACATTTTTGTGTCATGAAAAAAACTGATTTTATACACCTTCTTCATATTAACTTCCAGATTTGCAGCTCGCATTATTCAGCATGACCTTTTTACTTTGAAGTTTGAGAATGATAACTCTGACGACATGAAAAAATTTCTAGGATCTATTACGTATATTTTTAATAAGTAAAACATACTACGGAGTTTTTTTTTTAATGATGCTTACCTCAAATAGACAATCTTTATTAGCTAGGCTGTACCTTTTCTTTTTGGAAATTAGTTCTGGCGCAATGACTAAAAAGTGCAATTTTTGTACAAAGATACTAGTAACTTCATCTCATCTTTGTCACGAACTGTCGGGAAAATGAAGCAAAATACTGATCCACTTATTGAGAAGCTTTTCTTTGTAGAAACTTCGGTTTCTTACACTATTAAATTTCTTTTTTTCCTTAAAACTTAATTGCTGAATTTGCTGAACTATCATTGTCAAGTTTGAGAGATTTCCTGTTCCTTGACCTTTTAGAATACTATGCTATATGAATGAGAACATGCCTTGTTTGTTATAGTATTATAGCACATCATAGTAAGAAGATTTTGGAAATCAACAGTGCAGTAATGAGTGTTTTCTCCTTGCAGGACGAATCAAACCTCTACATCTTTCTCGAGCTGGTGACTAAAGGTTCCCTTTTAAATCTTTATCAGAGATATCATCTTCGAGATTCCCAGGTTTGCGCTTACACAAGGCAAATTCTTCACGGTTTGAAGTATCTTCATGACCGCGACGTGGTTCACAGGTAATGACAGCAAACTATTCTTCTGTTATTTTGGACCAGCATTATTGAATTTGATTACCAAGTTATAGTCTGCCCTTTTTTGTGCCCCGGTGAACTCTGGTGCAACTTTGGCTCGATATCCTCAGGTTGCTAAGATTGGCATTTGCCCTCACTGATCCAAGTTGAACATTATGAATGTATGATAAATAGGCCTGTGATCAGTTCGCATCCTTTTTGCCCTCTTGATTTTAGGGTTTGTTGGAGACGTCAAGAAGCGGTCGTAAGATTGAATTTTGTAATAATATTTTTGGTTGTGTTTATTCACACACACAGATTGTATGGTGTATTATCAATTCCCATGGAAAGAGATTATATATCACTGTGTTTCCCTTCTTATTTGCCTTTCCTTTTGCTTGTTGAAGGGATATCAAGTGCGCAAACATATTAGTAGATGCAAGTGGATCTGTGAAACTTGCGGATTTTGGGCTGGCGAAGGTCTCAATTCCCTTTGAATTGTTTCTTTAGCATACGAGAACTCTTTGAACTATACGGGAGTTTGTATCTAACGCCATGTATTCTTTTCTCTCTCCAGGCCACTAAACTGAATGATGTCAAATCATGCAAGGGGACTGCATTTTGGATGGCTCCAGAGGTACGTGTCTATTTTGATACTCTTCTAAAAACAATATGATTTAGAGATTACATTGGAGACTTTCCCAGAAGTTTAGGAGCATAATCTGAAGTCATATAATTCTAGATGAATTCTCTATTTTGGAAATGAGATTTTCGTATTGATAGAATGAAGGGTTCTTGGGCTAACTCTAGAATGACCTTCATGGGGTGCATTCAGCTTATTGCTTTCTGGATGTTATCTTCCTCTCTCTTTGTACTTGTGATTTATGCATGTAGCTGTTTTTCTGTTTACAATACCCCTTTCACAATGATGTTGCAGGTTGTCAACCGGAAAAACCAAGGATATGGGCTTCCAGCTGATATTTGGAGCCTCGGGTGCACCGTTCTGGAGATGTTGACTCAAAAGATTCCATATTCTGATCTGGAATGTGTATGTGCTTGCCATTATTTTTGGTGTTTTGAGATTATGCATTTTGACTGAAATCGAGTATGGCCTGTTGAATCTCAACAAGTTGGGGTTCTGTCAAAATCAGTTTCTACTTTCATTTGCCAAGCACATTCATTGTTGTTATCCGTTTTATCGTTACACAGTTCATTTCTTATTATTTATTATAGTAGTTGACAATGGTTTATGGCTCTAGCAGATGCAGGCATTGTTCAGGATTGGCAGAGGCGTGCCTCCTACTGTTCCTGATTCTCTCTCTAGAGATGCAAGGGATTTTATCCTACAATGCCTCCAAGTCAATCCAGATGATCGGCCTACAGCTGCTCAGCTCTTGGACCATCCTTTTGTGCAGCGCCCGCTTGCAACATCCTCAGGCTCTGCATCCCCTCATCTTCGGAGACGCTTTTAGAAGGTCTTTGATCAAAAGCTTCAATTTATCGTGTTTGACTGGGTAAGCATTATTTCTTACCCTTCTTCTCTTGGCTGGTCATCTGGTCCCAATATATTCTGTTATGTTTTCATTGATTTTCTTTTCCGATCTTCAAGGAAAATTATGGCTTGTTTTAAGGCTCGCTTTTTCTTTCTCTTGGCTGGCCAACCAATTGAATCGACAGTGTGATTTTGATTTTATTCGTCTCTGATTACTGAATGAGAAACATTAGATATTCAAAATTCGAGACCCAATGAGCATTCTTCTTCCTACCTCTATAGTACACTAGACCGTGAGTGTGGGTTGTGTAATTGTACGGTGCACCATTTCAGATGATATGTAGCACAAAGTACAATACGATATACACTTATTTGCCATGATGGACAAAGTTGTATCCTCCTTATAGTATCACCATGATGGACGTTGACTTGTAACTCTTCCTGATTGAAACAGTCGGTCTGGTTCTTGTTTTGGTAGTCGAAGATGACTACGGCCTCGAGAAGTCACTGGACGGACGTTGGCTCTGATCTGTGCTGGCTCTGATCTGTGCAAATGTACTGGTGCATTTTCTGAATGAATCTTCTTCGGCTAGCTTTTTTGGGTTTCCTCTTTGGCTGTTGTATGAGTTTGCTGTTTGTCGTGGGAGAATACAAGTTTGTCTTCCAAACATGGCATAGCTGCAAGTCCTCTAATTGCCATTTATTTAATCTCAGTGTTGTTATGATTGCTTGTTAAGATTCTTGTAGGAGTTGTAAGACCAAGGGACATGCAGGCAGACAGACGGTAGCATTTTTTTGTATATAATCACAAAACGCTAGCCTTGACACTACTGTTTTCCTTCTTTTATTTTGTGTGCGAGGACTATGCTCAGATTCATATTACAAAGCTGATTTTGAGGGTTTTCATTCCCAGGATTGGGTCTTCTGAGATTAGCATTGATAAAGTATATAGTAAACACTAGAATGCATACCAGAAATCAAGGTTGTCAACCCGCGGGTTGACCCGGACCCGGTTGAGCTAGTGGGTCAAGGGTTAATGGATCACCCGTTTTGGTCCGGTTTAGCCCGGAAATATGGAAAGCGTCATTATATTGTACTTATCCTGATAAATTATATCAAATTTTATATAACATATGAGTTATAACATATAATATTATACCAAAATAATATTTCGTACTAAGATTCAACATATAGTGAAAATTCACACACTTATATAACATGTTCAACTTAGGATTCCAAAAATTGAGTTAGGCGATTTTTTTTTTGAAAATAGGCGCATTTCGCACAACAAAGAAAAAAATGACACAATTTGACCTCCAACCCGCTACCTTGTGGCGGTCGATCCAGCGGGTGCGTGCGAATCGTTTTTCTCACCGGGTCAGAGTTAAAGTGGGTCAACCCGCGAGTCTATCCGCGGGTTGACAACCTTGCCAGAAACACTACAATACCTACAAAAATATCTTAAAGCATACTAGGAAAAATGCATAACGGAAACTAACGAATAAATACTAGTATCATTTATATCCTATTTTAGATCAAAGTTAATATAATTTTTCTGTGAAAGTGCATTTGACATCCAAATTAAAATGAAAGAGATGTAATTCAATAAAAAATAATGCGAGATTAATTATCTGGAAAGTAAAAAAAATAATATTATACAAATAAATTAATCTTAAAATTTCTATATGTGTAAGCATTAAGCATCATAATATTATTATGCTACCCTCCAGAACTCAAAGCATTGAGCAAGGTGGGAATCCTAATCCGACCACGAAAGAACACTTGCTACTGTAAAAAAAAAGTAATGACTATAGTTAAACCTTTTTTCGGATTTTTTTTGGCCAAACCTATTGAAATATTGATAATTAGCCAAATGTTTTGTAACACGTCAAATTAATAGACATTAGTCTGTTACCATTAACTATTTCTTAACGGTGCTCCACCTCAGCGTTTAACTCAGCTGCCACCTCATCAATGAATAAATGAGTAAACACTTATTAACCAAATCTTTCTCGCATGACTTTTTATTATCCAAACCTATTGAATTACTAATAACTAACTAAATCTTTTGTATTGCATCAAAATATTAGCCATTTTTAGGTTATTGTTACTAATTTTGTAATTCTTTCCTTAATTAAAATATTAAAATTTTGGAATGTTGACTTCCATGTGCCTCTTCCAAGACAGTATCATTTTGCCATGTCAATATTACTAACAAAATTGCTAACTGGAAGTTAACATTTGGATAATTATTAGTAATTCAATAGATTTGGCTAATAATTATTCCTTTTATTTTAAATATTTATAAAATATTGATAAAAAAGTGATCAATGGTTGACCGACTGATGTGATATTTTTTTACTGCCACGTAAGAAAATTCCTTCCAACTCAACGCCACGTCTGACAGCTCACCATTATCAAACGAAAAAATTAATGGAAAGTTGACGTTTGGCTAATTAATAGCATTTCAATAGGTTTGACTAATAAAAAAGAATATGAAAAAAGGTTTGACTAATGAATAGTCATTACCCTAAAAAAAGTACTACCAAAGTCACACATAGGTTGTTAATGAACTGAATCAAGTCAAGGTTTGCCTTGTTCAGACTTGGTTTGTTGATAATGGAGCCAAGCTCAAGGTTGACTCATTTATCATCGAGCTGACTCATTTATTTAAACCTTGTCTGATCATTAAGATCACAGATTTGGCTCGAGTTCAACTCATATACTAGAAATAGTTGAATCCTTAAATCAAATCTCAATAATTTATAAAATTAAATATCCTAATATTTGTATCTCATATTTGACACATGGATTAATTGGTCTCATGTTTATATACTTTGTTGGTATCAACATTTTATTTAGTTCATAAAATTTTAAGTAGTTCATATAATATAATTTGATAGTAACTAACTAGTATCTAAAAAATCTATAATACATAATTTCTCTTTCAAATTATAAGTGAGACGTATGTTTTTACATACTCGAAGTTCTAAACGTTATATGAGGTGAGATGTACAAGTTAACAAGCTTATGAATTATCAAGAAGTCAACATATAAGATATAGGTTGATCTGCTCATAAACCGGTAGTCGTGTACACTTATTAGCCACAACCACAATGTTGCTATATCTTATTAGCTAAAAACGAGCTTGTTTACGAGTTGATCTCAACAAGCTACCAAGTCAAGATGGCTCACGAGCCCATTGAGCCGAACAATGCTTAGCCTAAGTTCAACTCGTTAGTAAACGAATTGAGATTCGAGTCTTTTTTTTTTAGAGTCGAATACCGAATACAACTCGTCTCATTAACATCCCTATTCAATTCCCAACATTCTATTGCCTTCAATTCATGAGCTGTCTTATTTTGAACTCATGAAGTGGCTCGACGATATGACTAGTAATCCAGCTTGACTGGCAATTTATTAGTGTATTGATTTATAGCTTATGAGTTTAGTGGTTAATCAACAAAGTAGGCGAATGCAACCTTAAGTAACCATGCCAAGTGCTCTTTAGGAGGAGCATCTCGTCTGTCACAAGCAAAGTAAAGGACAAAAAGAATCTCGAAGGTGGGCTTTAGCCCACACTTGGCAGTTGATCCGCCAAACAAGATTCTGGATCCTTGGCCCGGCCCGGCCCGGCTTCCGAAATATATCCATCCCAAATTCCGGGGAAAGGATAGCTGCTCTTTTTTCCCTCCTCCTCCTTTTCCTTCCGTCAAGAAGATGAGAACTGGATAGTGGATACTGCAAAACTCCTTTGAATCAATCAGCTGCAGCGCGAATTGCTACTGTCACTCTGCTCCAGTGCGTTCTCTCTCTCTGCAACTCGTCTCCTTCCGCTTCAATCAATGGCGGTTCCTCTCTTCAATCTCGCTCCAAACTTAACAGTTTCAAGGCTCTGTTTAGGTATATCTCAGAGTCTAGAATAATCTCCATGGACTGCTACTAATTGCGAATGGAAGCAGCGAGATCTCTGTTGGTACTCGAATTCGTATATATCGTTTCGTTTGTTTCCAGGAACCATGACGTTTGGCGAGCAGAACACGATGCATCAATCCCTTCGCCTCCTCGATGAAGCTTTTCATGCCGGAATCAACTTCTTCGATTCCGCTGAAATGTGCGTCTTTCAATTCCATGTTCTTCCTTGTTTCCTTTTCATTTTTCTTCTGGCGGCCATTGTTGTTAACTTAATTTCTATCAGCAGGTATCCGGTGCCCCAACGGGCCGATACTCAGGGGAGGAGTGAGGAGTACTTGGGCTTTTGGATTAAAGAAAGGAAGATCCCTCGCGATCGAATTATCGTTGCAACCAAGGTGAAATTTTTCACTATCTTATTGGTTATCTGTGCCAGCCGATTCCCCTTCGGTTCTATGTCAACTATTGTGGCCTAAAACAACTTCTCTTGTTTTTCTGGGTTGGTACTTGGTAGTGATAGTATGAATTTTCCGTCATTACAGGTTGCTGGGCCTTCTGGGCAGATGACTTGGATTCGAGATGGACCAAAGTGCTTGGATGCTAAGAATATTACTGAAGCCATTGATAGTAGGTTCGTTCCCTTGTGTGCGTGCTAAGGCAATCCTCACTACAAGAAGAGAAATCATATGTTCTGTGCACCCTTATTTCGAACTTGAACTAGCTATATTCTCTGATACAGAAGTAATGCTGTTTGTTATGCAGCTTATGCCGAATGAAACTCGACTACATTGATCTCTATCAAATTCATTGGCCTGATCGGTTTGTATGTAGACCCCTTTTTTCCTTTCCAAATTTGGTTATCTATTTCTATTTGAGAGATCCCTAATTTTTGTTTAACTAACCTTGACTTTCTTTGGTGTTTGTTATCTGTGTACATCTAGGTATGTTCCAATGTTTGGAGAAACCGAGTATGACCCTACTCGTCGATTCAGTTCAATAAGGATAGAGGAACAACTTGATGCCCTTGGCAGGGCTGTTGCTGCTGGCAAGGTACGGGATTGTAGTAAGACATGGCTCAACCTGAATATCTTAACTAAGTAGGGCATCTGAGCTGGACAAAATTCTTTCTTTGTAGATTAGATACATTGGACTCAGTAATGAAACACCATACGGTGTCATGAAGTTTCTTGAGGTTGCTAAGAGTAATATTCTGTATCCAGAGATAATATCAGTGCAGGTAGTTCCTTCATAGAGTGCTGCTGCTTTTTCCTTCGTCTGCCTCCTCTGTCGATAGTGGTTGTCTTTGTTCATTGCCAATCCTAATGTACTGCAGATTTTTCTTACCGATAGAACTCATACAACTTGCTTTGCCGAAGTTTTGATTCTGGACTAGCTGAATGCTGTCACCATGAGGGGTATGCTATCCATGCTAAACTATTTTATAACTATAGTAAATTGTATGCTTAATGTTCTTTTTATTCTGAGAAATTCCATGTCATTTGTTTCTTTCTTTTGTTCTAAAAGGTTTTGAGTTGTGAATTACTCTGTTGCATCGGCCGTTTGTAATGTCTTTGTGGTTGCACAGCTTATGTTCTTGAATGTTATTTAATCATTCATCAGAAACAGCTTATGTTCTTGAATTATTCATATTTACTGTTACTATTGCAAATGATATCGATTCTTCTTCTTATTTAGTTAAGTTGATTTTCTGTGACTGTTATAACTAATCACCATTTCCTGTGAATAATGTTGTTTCTTTCTACTGCCGATTCTGTAGAATAAGCTTACTAGCATACAGTCCCCTTGCAATGGGTATACTTTCTGGGAAGTACTTTGCATCTGATGGAGCACCCCCAGATGCTCGCTTCAATATGTTCAAAGGTTGATGTTGAGAATTCGATTTTCCAAATATTGCTGCTTATGAGGATGTTCGCATAATTGAGACCCCTTCCTCATTATCAACTTTCTGCTCCTTCCAGGAAGGTATTCAGAAGGGGAATCAAGATACAACCTCCATAGTCAAGACATAACAACAGCTGCTAGGGTACGTCAATTCCTGCAACGATCTCAATTTACCATTAAACCAGGGTGACCAGGAAAATCAGTTCTTCATCCTTCATGTTGAATATTATCTAAAGTGACTGGACTTTGTAAACTGTATGAGCTTTTTTTTCGTTTCAGGAATACATAAACATTGCAGATAAATTTGGGCTACACCCGGTAACTCTTGCAATCGGTATATAATCGCTCTACATGCTCAAGCTTTTTCCTCGGCTGCTATAACACGTCATTGAGCATTTCTATCTAGTAGAGCTTCTAAGTGTCATTACCCCTTGCATAATTAGCCGTTTATATCAACTTTTGTTTTCCTAGAAACAGCTAGCTTAAGGTGTGTTATGCTCACAGAATACGTCATTGGCTCGCTGCTCTTCTTTGGTTTTCCTTTCTGGGTGATAGATTTGCTGAGAAATCTTTCTGTTGTCTGTCTATATGCAGCATTTGTTTTAAGACACCCTCTTGTTGCAAGTGCTGTGTTTGGAGCTACCAAGTCGTGGCAGTTGCAGGAGGTACTGAAGGCATGTTCCGTTCACCTTCCACCAGAAGTAATTGCTGAAATCGACGAGGTCCATTCCAGGTTCCCAAATCCTTGCCCTTGACAAATTGACAGGTCGTTCTGTTGTGAGCCGGCGAGTGGTAGCTTTTGTTACGCGCAGTGCGGAGCTATGTTAAAGCGAGAGCGAGTGGCTTTTCTCCAAAGGTAAGATAGTCTAACGGTAAAATTGTCGCGACAATGAAGGCTTGGGCGTTACAGATCCCAAGCGAGGCCCGTTGGTGTTCCCGGAGGATTGCAGGTAGCCCTCAGGTTTAGTAGGACCCGTTGTCACAAGTAATAAATAATAATAAATAAAAAAGAATGGAGGAGATGAGCGAGAAGCAGGACTGAGTAGATTGATTCATTGTTTTCTAAAATAAGGATTACGCTTTTGTAGAAATGGATTTGGGCTTCTGTCACGTGGGCATACGAAAGAAGTCTAGTCGGTAGTCTTCATATGTTTGATTGTTGCTAGTGTTATATGCTTGATAAACAAACAACCTTACCTCAAAACGATGACAAAACTTTAATTTATAACGACTCGATAACAAGTCTTTGCACTTAGTACAAAACAGTCAAAAATAGTGATCCTTTCCTACAAGTTCAAACTTTTGTTTTCATATAATTACATTAAAGGTTTGTGACCATTTTTTTACAAAAGGCAAAGATTTGTGACCGTTATACATTATACACTATTTAACAAAAGCGTAAAACATTGTGTCACTATTGCATCACCATATTGCCACATCATACCACCCTAGTAAGGGATTATGCAGCGTTGTTAAACTATCAATTATATACATCACTAGATTCGTAAAGACATCTTGTTCAATGTATAGAAGAGAACAATCTATATCCAATGAGTAAGACAACCATAACAAAAGTCTACTACTCCATAGAATAAACACACATAACAAATTTTATAAGGGGTTACCTCCCCATAAAATAAGTTTGCCTACCCTAAAAGAATCCATACCTCCAAATATGCTTTTGGCGGTTGGTTGGGACATTGCTTAACAATTACAATACAATACAACATCATCAACAACAATAAGTTGTTTATTTTTTTTGTCGTGGAATTGGAGATGGGTGGAAATGGGGGCGATTGTGGTTATCCGCCCCAAATTTTTCGGGTAATCACACTAATAAATATAGATTCATGCTATCCACAACCCGCACCACCCAGGTAGTGATGGATTGGTGAGGGTTGGATGTGGATACTCACAAAAGTTTCGTTCATTCGCCCTTCGGACTCGTATATGATAAACCTATCAGACGAGTGACGACAAAACACACATTGAGTTAAAACTAAGTCAAATAAGTCCAAGACATGAAACACGTGAGGATCCGGTATTCAGAACTTTCTAAGTAGTCAATCTCCCTCTCCTCGATTCACTTCACTCGCTTATAGGTCACTTCACTTTCTTTAGGAAATACATATTGATAAAGAGTATGGGTTGGAGAGGATCTAATCTAAATACACATAGCATCTTTATCAGTGGCTTGACTCCTTTGCATTTTATTTGAATTTTTTAGAGTTAAATGAAATTCTCTCCCCGAGCTGCGGAATTAACGTCTTCTTACAGGAAAAACAAAAACCTACATAAAAAATAGTAAATAAAGTGTTAAATAAACTATAAAGTACATTTATTGACTTGGTTTTGTTATAAAATAAACACATATCACGCTGTAAATGCTTATTCAATAAATTTATCTCATGCGGACACTGTGTATTGACTTGGTTCTGTTTTATAAAATAAGTACACATTTGATTTTGTAGGATACTTTGTAGCATTCTACTTTTCACATACTTTAATAATACTTTGTAATATTAATAAATAAATATACTTAGCGTAGTTATTGTGGGTTAACTGCACAAAAATCAATACTTTGCTATCCACACCCAACCCACTATCCACAAATTGTGGGTATGGTTACCCCTAACTCGCAATTGGCAAACCAAACTTCCACCCCCTAGATACATATATGTTATAACTAAAAGGAGAGTGGATGGGTATAAGAGCTAAGAATATGCATAGACATAGCTAGTATATGTTGTTTATTATCATCCGGGTGCATATTCTATGTCGCTATGGTAAATGTTATGTCACAGTAATAAAGGTATACACTAACACAACAGTTTTACCCTAATGGTGTAAGGATCTCACTTCTAATATTTTGATATTCAGTCACGCACCTCTAATCTTCTCCATCCTCAAGCCCATGAAGGAAGTAGGCAAGGATCCATTGGATGTGTAGTAGTCAACGCAAGTAAGAAAGATTATTCTAGGATTACAGCTCCTTTCCTGTAATGTTTCCGTGATGTTTCGTTTTTGTTCTAGCATGCAGGTTGATTGTTTGGCTCTCTGCCTCCGCCTGTTGTGCGTGTACTCTGTTCGGTTGTGTTTTTCCTTTGTTTAAATTAATAAAAGGCTATCACCATTATAAAAAAAATTATTCTAGGAGACAAAATTAGGAGATAAACAAACATCTTGGTGGAATTAGGCAGCAGAATTCGGCCTAAAAACCAAACAAGAATCGGGGAACAAGAAGGAGACACATAAAAGGGATTTTTCCAGAAATAGCACCTTTAAAAAAAAATTACAAAAATAGCACCCATCCGTAAAAATTTCCACTAATAGCACCCTTTTTAATAGAACGCACCTTGTGGATGCGTTTTACATATAAATCGCACCCCACAAGTGCGTTTTAAATATAGATCGCACCCTACAAGTGCGTTCCAAAAATCTGGAATCAAATCGCACTTTAGCCAAGCGATTTTAGGTCTGACCTAATAAAATCGCATGGCCGAGGTGCGATTTTAAGTCTGACCTACTGAAATCGCATGGCCAAGGAGCGATTTTATGTCTGACCTAGTAAAATCGCATGGCCGAGGTGCGATTTGTTTCTGCCAGACAAAATCACACCATGAGGATGCGATTTTAACATGCAAACTGCACCTTAAAGGTGCGGTTTTGGTCAATCAATATCCGACATCCATACAGACGTTACAGACGTGGGTTTGCATGGGCCTGCATGGCAGACGAAAATCGCATCTCTAAGGTGCGGTTTTCATCAAGATTTTGCCTATAAAAGGCCTTCCAGACAACCATTTCTCTTCACACCTCTCCTTCTCCCTTCCCTTTTCAATTTTCTGTTGTAGCTCTATATTTCTTTAGTAGTTTTGCGATTAACGTTAACTCGTAAGTTGATTTAGTATTACATATTTCTTTAGTAGTTTTGCGATTAACGTTAACTCGTAAGTTGATTTAGTATTACATATTTCTTTAGTAGTTTTGCGATTAACGTTAACTCGTAAGTTGATTTAGTATTACTTTTTATTGTTAATTTTTATTTTTGATTTTTATGATATTAACTTAACTACGGTTTTATTGCAGATGGCATTCCAAAAGTTCACGCTTGGCTTACGGTGGAATGGTTACACGGAAGAGACCGGAAAGGGTGCCACCTACGTAGGTGGCAATTTTCAGAAGATAAAGGTCGCTACCCGACCGCTGCTTGAAGACCTCCATCAAATGTGCACTAACGTTACTTGCATGGATGGCACGAGAAAAGTTGATCGTATGGTGTACCGATATCCAAACAGAGAAAGTGGGTCATTGTGGCATGAGGAATATCTCATAACCACTCAGGATGAGGTAGACGCCATGCTCGAATTCATGAGGTCCAACAATCTTTCCAAAGTCGAGATGTTCGTTTACACCGAGCCGGTCGTAGGCGTTGGAGGTCATTCTGGACACGGTCAAACATATGGTATCCATGGTGGAGGTGAATACTATGGCGATCATCCCTACCAAAGTTACCATGATCCTAATTCATATTTTCAGTACCAAGAGCAAGGTGAAGGTCATCATCAATCATATGAAGAAGAAGTTCAACCGGACCGGCCTAACCAACCTCAGTACAACTTCCTCTCTGGCAGCGGTAGTTTTCACAACTACCATTATGGAGCTGATGAAGGTGCCTTTCATGAGCTGGATCATATGGAGGATGTCATGGCAGCACCAGTCAGTGACCCCTCCGATGAAGAAGGAGAGAACAACGTCAGTGCAGACAGCTCCGACCCTCTTGAAGGTGCCGATGATTCCGGACCAGAGTCAGACTCAGCTAATGATGATGAGGGGGCTCGTGACCGTGTACCAGTCCTCTACTACAATCACATTCCAGACGACAATTGGATGGTCGACAGCGACATGGAGCCGCCAGAGGTCCCAATATGGGGTCCACTCACTGGGTTTATGAAGGGCCAACAATTTGGCTCGAAGAAGGATGTGCGTCACGCCATTGAGACAGAAGCAATGACTCGGCATTTTGAATGGCTCACAACTCATTCCAACACTAAAAGGCTCTTAGTCAGATGCCGTAATCATCACGAGGGGTGCAATGTTAGGATTCGGGCCATCAACAGCAAGAGACACGGTTGCTGGGTCATATCCCGTGCGGTGAACACACACACATGTGTGTCATCCATAACTTCCCAAGGCCATCGACAGTTGAAATCCAGGGTGGTTGCTGCGGCTATCAAGCATCTAATTGAGCAAAAGCGAGACCTAAAGGTGAAAGTCATAATCGCTGACATTGCAAGTCGTTATTGTTATATGATTAACTATAAGAAGGCGTGGCATGGAAAGCAGAAAGCTCTGGCCGCCGTCTTTGGTGATTGGGAAGAATCGTATGCATTCCTTCCCAGATTAATTTTGGCATTGGAGGCGTCTAACCCTGGCACGGTTTTCTCCCCTCGATACCAAGATGAAGAGATACAACCCCCAGAGCCAGGTAACAAGCGCCATTTCAGACGACTTTTTTGGGCATTCAAGCCATGTATTGATGGTTTTGGCTTCTGTGTCCCTGTCATCCAAGTGGATGGAACATTCCTTACCGGCAAGTACAAGGGCACTCTCCTGATTGCCAATGGGGCGGATGCAAACAGACAAGTCTTTCCTTTAGCCTTCGCCATTGTTGAGGGAGAGAATGCTGATAGCTATGGATGGTTTTTCCGGCAAATCCAGATCCATTGTACTAGGAGGACGAACCTTACAATAATCTCTGATCGGCACGCCGGCATTAGAGCTGCCATCTTAGGTTTAGATCCATCCTGGAAGTGGTCCCAAATGTGGTGCATACGACACTTCAAGAGCAACTGGAACCATCATTTCAAGCGGAAGAAGCTTGCTGATAATTTGTGGTGGATCGGTAAGTTTGTAATTAGCCGTATAATTTAGTTCCAATTACAATATCTTAGTACGTTTGGCGAGTGGTACTCTGGTTAGACTCTTTCTAAAGTGATGCATGCCTAAGGAGATGGGGTTTTAAGCGATTATCATGATCCTCCCATTTCCTGGGAAAATCGGGTTTTAAGCGATCTTCGGATCCC